GAAGCAAGATCTTCTTTAATATGTAAGATCCTCCTTTAATATCGTGTCCGATAAAAGGATCTTCTCATAGAATCGGACAGAAAATTTCCTCTACTTGTATATATTATGCTGATTCTCTTTAGATACATGTTTGTGCATGCGGTATAACGTGTTCTGAAATCGATGTACATATCGTGTTTATTTCTTTCAACAATTATTTGTATTTTTAAATATGGATTACACCTATAATAGCCTTTATAGCCTTTAATAACACCTAATAGCCTTAATAGCCTTTATAACACCTTAGCCCTGATAATAACAAGTACAATTGCCTATTTTATTAATTTCTCAGTTTTAATACCACCTCTATCACTGTATACTAAGTACCATAATCGAAGGAGACATCAATAACTAATAAATGATCGTACTATTTGAGAAAAATCATTGATCAATGGAAAATATTGATTATGCAAGGATCGTGGTTCGAAATCAGTTGGTACAACCGAGGTTCTATCGCGTCGAAAGTTTTTCGTTAGTAACGTAATTTGAAGGAAATGTTGTAAACGCGAGGAAATGACGATCGTACGTCGTCGTGTGATGTACCGTGTGAAGTCGCTTGGTTAGACGGTCTAACTGAGTTGGCACCTCGGACGGTCGCCAAACGACCTTTTCCTCTCTGTCTCCCATCACTGCACCTTGACTCCTGCTCGACCACGGTTTCACATTAAGTATTCACGTTGAACCCAATTTGCGTGCAAGGAGCGTTCTAGGAAACTGAGACCACGGTACCATCCCGAATTCGCCGAATTCCGAAGAAGGGAAGTTTCCAAAAGCCCTTTTAGAAACCGTCTGCCATTCGTTAGACGGAACAATGTATCAAAAAATCCCACATTAAAACGTCAGTGACGCGAACGCCAAAACTCTGCCTATTTTTAAACCTAATTTAATAACAAAAGACCAAACTGCCGAATAAAAACGTTCGTTCTTATTTGCTTCGAAGAATTCGTGCGACCAATAACAGTTTCCAGTTCCTAAAATGATATCCAGCTGCAATTTCAGTCTGATTTCTGATGCGAGAGGGTTCGAGAGCCGGGATTTTCCTCGCTCATCCCACTCGAGTCTGCACTCGAAGAACATACCTAATGGGAACAGGCAATGGGTTGGGATGGGTTGACAATCCTCTAATTACTTTAAAGTAGTTCTCGATTCTCCAAGCGACGTTACGGTTATCGAGGGTTGCAAGCTAGGAATTTTAGTATCCCTTGAACGAAGCCTTACACGTGCAGGGATCTCCAGAATTCTCTGATAATCGAATTTCCTCTGAAATTGTTAAAAATTGTTAGAAACCATTCGAACTTGAATTAAACAAAAATTGAAGGGGCTCTTCACCCTTCTGGCTCAACCTACGTGTGCATCGAGGTCCCTTTACTCTATAAAACACAAAATCTTTCTAACCCTAACGCTTGGAAGCACGAGAAAATGACGCGATTGTGTGTGAGCCATGGGAAAAAGAAATCAAGCTACATAATGGATCAATTAAACGAAGCGAGTTATCCTTTTCCGAATTATCGACGTAATATCTTTTATTTGGCTCCCGAGATGCGAACATCGCATAAATTTATGCTTAACGGGAGCATAAAGGTCTGACAAGGAATGAGTACCGAGACCTTGACTTAAATGGAGGCGAGCGTACGGGTAGTTGCTGCTACTCGTTGATTATTTATTCAAAGGGTATTACGGGCTCCACTAATTATAATTTATATCGTGGCAGTAACATCACATCGACCATACAGCTTCAGGGATGGTACCGTGTACGCGAAAGTGTCAGGAAAACTTTAGAAGCACCCGTGCACGATGCACTATTGTTTATAAACATTTTCCAGACCCTAAAAATCCATCGATCGAACAGTCAAATTCTCTTATTATACATAATACATACATAAGTTAACAATAGTTCCATTTGACCATTCGATGGTTTTATTATCGTGTTTCTACTAAATATTTAAATCCTATGCATCGAATCGGGATTACTTGTCAATTTGTAATTTCATTGAGGATTTCAGGTGCAAGAGAACAATGCAACTAGAAAGATGAAGTGGTAAATGAGAAAAATTAAGGAAGATGAATTTGAATCAGAATGGGGGGGCCATCGATCAACGTGCCACCGTTTAAAAAATCTGACGAGGACGAAGAATGGAATAGAGTGCGTGCGTGTGAGCAAAGATATTGGAAATTCTATATGAACAAACTGTTGTTCGGATTTAGACAGGGATTAATTTTTCTTCTGTTTAAGTTTAACTTGATTTCGATCGAACCCCACATAGGTAGACACAGAGAATGTGACAGGCACGAGAGCCAGAAGCATGTACAGCCAATCAGCGGTTTTTCCTAGACTGGCTGTCATTCAGTCAACCAAGTGGAAGGACAGGAACGGCTTGTGGTTCGGCTTTGGCATTATTCATTATGCAGCTCACAACACGCCGTCACCTGCCACCGCAGTCCTGCATACACAGTCAGCCTGCCATTGACCACATACGTGTATCCGCGTCTCTGTAGGTAACTCTGCTATATCAGCTACGTCTAACAAGAATTTTTTTTAGCCACCCTGATTTCCCTACAGTCCGCCACGGTTCGCGTCGTTGCTCTGCCAAAACTCATTATCCATGGATTTCGGTCAAAATCGGTTAAACAGATTACTAGGCTTTTTTCGCTGTTACGTTCGGCGAACCGTAAAAAGTGCGGTTCACCAGGATTCACCGCTTTAAAAATAGTTCGTTAAGCGTCACGTGGTTATCGACTTACGGTCTTCTGGCTCGTCCATAAAATATTGATCCCCTCTAAGGATTCTTACAGATCTTTTTCCTTGCGAACATACTGCTTTCCTTGTCCACGGAATTTCTAATTAACCTTCTTGCATCGATACTCGATTTGCTCAGATATGCTGAAATAATATTGACCTTTAAAGTATGTTCTGATAGAGTAATTGTAGGTAAAGAATCATGAGGAACGCGAGACGAGTAATTAGATTCGTTGAGATACAATTAACGAAACGGGAGGCAAAGAAGAAAATAACTTTCCTTTACTACTATGAACCCCAAATAGATAGTAACTTCATCAATGGAATAACGTCAAATGCTACTAGCTGACTACTTGTTATATTTGATTAAATAGAAGATCCTAAGTATTTAATATTCAACATAAATTATAATTATAAAAATTATACAAATATAATTAATAAATATTGAAAGAAGAGTCGCGTGTTTGGATGAACCTGAAATGATGCGTAAACGAGACTTAAGGCGGATCGATTACAAACGTAAACGTATCAGTTTCGCGACTATTCTATAGCGGGCGATCACTTGTCGAAATAAGTAAATCAAATTTCTCGATAAGCTGACGGACGTATGAAAGAATAGCTAGCCATGGAAGACGATTCGAGCTGGTAGCGTTGCATTTCGCTGCTGACAGCGGCCACCCTACGCCCCCCCGATTATAGTGGCAATATGTTTATACCAGACTGATAATGAATTCATGGTACGCATAGGGCAACCTACTTGTGAACAGGTTGCAGTAGCATTACAGATCCGATCGCGCAGATGCTCTTTTGTCAGGAGATGAGTGAGAACCCTGGGGATGGCGGTGAATGATATCAGATCTGTCGGGGTCGTAGTAAGAATCAAGGGAATCGTAGTATAGCCGCGTGTGTATCGTTTGTGCGACCAGGTTCGCCTAAACGTGTTTGTGTGTAGGGATGCAACCGGGGGATCCCACGGATCCCAATGGGGAACCATCCTCGGGGCTTAATGACAATTCTGACTATTCAATACCGCTCAAACGCTCGTTTGCGCTTGTTTGTATGTATTATGATCATTTGTACTTAAGCGGGTGTACCCACACCGACGTAATCGCACGGAGGTTTACTTCGCGATGTCCTCGAGCGGAACGAACCGTCACGAGAAACATACGTCGTCGCGAAAAAAATGTTACACGTATGAAAACAAACGGGGTTTCGCCAGTCGTGTCTCCCGCGACGATGAATTTAAGAATTAAATCGAATTCGATGCGTGTACAATCGTATGAAACCGTACAAAAATATTCGATGTATGATATTTCATAATTACCCGATACCGGAAATAAGTTAGCACCTCGCGAGCTGGCCAACGGACAAGATGCGTCGAATTTAGCTGCATTTTTTCTCTCTTCGTTACTATTATTCATTATTCCTTCCTATGATTAGGTAAAACCATAAAGAAACACTGTCATAAAACGGAAATTATGCATCAAACTGCTTGTATTAATAATTCATATCGGTATAACACTCACAGCATACGTTTCCAACAGCACATTCATTCACAAAGTCCAACGAAAAAATATCAATTCTTTTAACGTCATTAATTCCTAATAGCCTTCAAATCTTGTCTTCTTTATTACGCAATTCTATTCCATCTAACACTTTACCTACAAATAAATAAGTATATATTTGTTTTACCAGCTCTTTTGTTCTTATTCTGGCCATTATTATTTATTCGTAAGGGACGCCGATAATATCCGAATAAATCGGGCACAAATAAAAGAAATATACTACGTATTATATACCCGATCACATGTCAGCTACATGTCGGAATTGTAATCGTTATTATTTTTTGATCATCCTTATTATAATTGTTATATTTTATTATATTTATAACTCATCCACTGCCACGAGATCCTTTTCTTTAGCATCCTGTTTCTTCTTTCGCCAAGACGGAAGTTGCACTTTCAAACAAGTCAAAACTTTTTATCATTTTACATTAACTTGAATATTACACATTTTATCATATCAGTTGCACTCGTAATTAAAAATTAGAGTTATTTTCATATATAACTTTATAAAATTTATTTTATATTCTAAATAAAACTGTTTAAGGTAACGGTAATTGGGTAAATGGCGGTAAATGGCGCCATCTTGGTGATTTCCTACAACTTCAACTTTTAATGCACGATGGTGGCCTCCCTGATCGACGAATTAGATATACGTAATAGTACTAGACACTAGCAATAGTACATGCGTACTTACACATAAGAAAAATGGATTCAAAAAGATAGTTTAACCATAATACAGTTTATTAACAATCGTTTCTATTTTGTACATCATGGATCGATTCTTAAATATCAATTGGTATGTATAACTTTTGATAATAACTTTGAAACTTAACCTAATCGATGCGTAATTCAAGCACACGTTGCTACGATGCAAAACCATACTAATTCGTGTTTCAAACATCGTCAATTGAACTGTTTTTACTCGTAAAATATTATTTAATAAGTAATAGATCTGCGTTGCAGAATTAAAAAGTACAGAGTCGTTCGTTATGTACAACAATACTACAAAGAAACGTAAAAATAGATTTGCAAACGAATGGTTTGTAATTTCATTAAAATCAATGTTTTGTGTAATTGTGTTTTTCTTAGGAATCCCCCATTGGAAGATATGATAGATAACACTTTTATGAACGCAGAAAGATTTGAGAAAGACAGCGTCATGCATAAAATTATGACCGGGAATTACATTGATCCGTTTAAAAATATCGAAGAAGAGTATAAAATGATTAATACCGATTTAATGAGAGACATTAATAAAAAAGTAGACGGTAGTATCGAATCTATTGAAATAAAAAAAGAAAAACGAGCGGATAAATATGTACCTCCTGTTAAACCAATGTTTAAGTTTCCTAGAAGGTCTAACTTAACTAAAGAGCAACAAGCGATGTGTCTAAGAGTCTTATTAAGATTTTCAGAATCTGATAAACCAAAAATAACTCAAACAGAAAGAGAGGAATTGCAGCATTACATGGTAAAGACATAGTTGGATTGGCCTGTTCTTTCTAGAGTTAATAATGGTTGTATTGTTTGTATAGCTTTGCATTATTAATTTCTTCTAGGATTTAAAAACCCTAATATCTCAAGAACAAGATGAATTTTTAGAATTTGCCAAAAGCAAATGGCACGAAAGGTCACTGAGAATCGTATGCGAAGATTACATGAAACTACGTTGGAAATCAAAGTTGCAATATGTTAATAGCCTTCCTAGATATTACGTCGAAGTTACAAATGTACCATTCATAACAGATAAAAGCGTCGAAGTAAAATTTATTTCTGTCTGTTTACAAATGGTGAGTATTTTATGATGGTATACCAGTGAGTACAAATAAATGAAAAAACGCTATTTTTAAAATGTTAAATGTTACTTAGATCGTTGTTTCTGGTAGATAATTGTCTGTAGAATGTTAATAAATGTTTCTTATTATTAAGGGTCAGTTGCCAAAAATAGTACTGCCAAGTTTCACTGGACCATACAAGCTACATATAAGTTCTGAACAGTTACAAAAAAGGTTTCCTCCTAAAAACTATACTTGCAATGAATCGCCAGTTTGTTACAAATCACCAGTAAGTGAAGATCCAAATTGTCAAAAATTGGCTGAAAGTAATAATGTGGATTTAGTAATTTCATCCAGTGGTCTTAATTGTTTAGTAAATAACATTGGACCAAGTTACACGAATTCCTGGATTTTACCTTTAGTTATAAAAAGGCACAATGATAAAAATGTTATCTACATAGATAAACCAGCGCCGCCGAATGCAAGCACTGTACCGAACAAGAATAGTTGGATATACAAGTACATTCTTAAATATTTCCTTATCGAGCATCTTATCTCGGAAAAGTAAGATGAAATTTTTATTATTAATATTTCGTTACGAGTACTGCTTCTTTATTTAATAACACTGTAATTGATACTTTTAAATGTGCAATAATAGTATCGAAGAGTATATCGGTGATATTTATTCTGAGGAAATTTTACGACTGGAAGACGAATATGAAAATGCTTCACCGCGTGTTCAAACTAAGCCACATTTCAATGTATCGGAGAAAGCAAAGGATAATGAAAACATTTTAAAAAGAGAAGAGGATTTGAAAGTTTATCCCCAAGTTCCGGAAGACCGAAAATTAAATTGCGAAGATTCTTTGCATGGTATTCCAGATACCAATATTTCTAATTCAACACACACTAAAGGTAAATACTCTCCTAGTGTCTATATTAAAGTATTAAATAATATTAAATAATATAATGAAATTTATGAATTAGGTGCAGAAAATGTAAGTTCTGAAATGAATATAGAAGACAATGTGTCGTACAAACTGTTTACCATAGGACCACAATCTTTAGAACAAAATGAATTAATGAAGAATGTTATTAAAGACTATAAAATGTTAGTGAGAACAAAAGTAGATGGATATGAGGTTTGTATATATTATAAACTTGTCCGAAAGGGTATTTACAGTGTAAGAGATAATAATATGGTTTATTCGATTAAAGACTTTACAAGATAATGAACAGAAATTGTTACTATTGGCACCAAAATTGGAGCACCAGATTGATCTTGGCGCTGAAGCTGTAACGTTGGAAGAATCGTTAAAACAATGGGTATCTCTCGTATTTAGACCTTTTACATTCCTTGCACGAGGTAAATTCATATTGTACAAAATGAAATAGAGCGAAACCTCGGCCAGTGTTTATAATTATTAATTAATATTGCTGTATCTTAGTCCGGATATTGGCAGAAACGTCAGAAATATTACAAGTGGAACACCGTACTGCGATGTCCGTAAGCAACGAAGTCAAACGGCTTTATAACATAAGAGTCGAAGATTCTTTGACAGTTTTACATAATGTCATTCAGTCGCTTACGAATCTATCTCCAGGCCGTTATATAATGAGGCACACAGTAAGAAATGGGTCATTTGCAACTGTTTATAAAGAAGTAGAAGCCCCTGGGTAAAAACCATAAATTATACTGTTACAAGTACATTTATCTTCAATTTTGTCTCTTTACATATATGTTCCTTTTTCCAGAAAAAACGTTTTTGATATACGTACAGTATATGATGAACAGTTTCATAGTTTACACAATCCTCCTTGGATTCCATTGGATAAGATAGTACCAACTCCAATGAATAAACATCTTGAGAGAATGCCAGTTATGTTCTGCCCAAAAATTGGTAAAAAGTTTTCCAAACATGTTAAAGCAGCGGAAGTAAACAAATCTAACACAGGTACATAATAATTTGTTGCATAATTCTAACCACGTTCCATTTGAATTACTATCAATTTTTATTGTTGCAGGAATACGCAGAAGTTTAAGAAATAAAAACAAGAAGTTTAAATAAATCCACGTGTAAATTAAAAAATATTTTTTTTACAAATCTTTGGAAGAATTAAATTTGTTATAAAAAAGAACAAGTAAACTCTTTCTCTGTCAGACAGAGAAGAGAAAATTAAACGAAATCTTCTACATTACATATCTAATCGCATCAAGGTCAGTTAATATCAGAATAATACTCATCAATTTAATTTATATGCATTATTATTAGCACCTCAGATAACTAGACGAGTTTGGACCTTTGGCGTTAATTGTGAAGCATTTATAAGTGATCTAAATTACCGAGCACTCTATTGTTGCATTAACAAATAAATTAAAATTAATTTTCGATCGTAAATAATTGGATCGCCATCTAGCGTGTAAAAAGTGAATTGTTTGTCGAAAAACTTGGGCGTTTTATGGTAGATGTCGTTTCGATATGCAGTAAATGGATAGAGTAGTGCACATTTAAATGTCCACGATCGGGATAACGAGTATTGATGGAAACACCCTTCATTAAGGTCGAAGAAGAAACAAATGAAAGATGCATAACCAACGAAGAGAGTTGAAAGAATTTATCTTCAAATAAAAGTAACCTGCCTAAAACAATGGCTAACGAAACACCTGCCTAACTATAAATCTAAATTCGTTTATTAAATCAAGAAACAATTCTAAATTCGCAGCCATTAGCTCGGTGTCATCCACGAAGAATAACATTTCTATCGTGTGTGACACCGATTACCAGGTCTCACCACGAGGAGGTTGCTGCGAGCGGAGACCCGAAGGGAGATAGATGGAATCAAAGTTCCATCGATCTCCCTTTTACATTCCTACAAACTAGATCACTAAACTAGAGAGATAGAAGGAAGCAATGTTCCTCCGATCTTCTAGTTCAGTTGTACCAAGTAATTATTTCGTTTGAAAAGGGATGAAGCTATATTATGGGATACGCGACGCGACGCGATACGACGCGATGTCGATCAGCAGTGATCGACGCAAGGAACGAGATACGCGACACGCGAACCGAGTACCTGGTCAAAAGGTTCAGCTCCGTTGCCTCTTAGCAAGTCCAAACGAAGGGGAGGAGAATCGACGCACCCGACACAGAGGTTCCCCATTTCTCCCACGCATCCCGTTGGGAGCCAGATGGACCCAACTCAAGATGTCTAACTGAGAGAGGGAGCGTGTGTTGGGGCTACCGTAGACAGGAACAGTCCCTGATCCCCTCTACGGCCGAAATACTCTTTCCCTTGGCTCGTCTCGCCAGAAGACGACAACTGACCCTTCGGATCAGCTAAACGGCCGATCACTTGCTTTCTACATCAAAGCAGTGGTGACCGGAACGGAGGAACGGGAGAACGGGTGAACAAGAAGCTAGTTGGTAAAAGAATTACTTGGCACATACGCAGACGCATACAAAGGAGTCGTCGATGCTTATATCTAATTTTACCAAGCAATTATTTTGTTTGAAAAGGAGTGAAGCTAAATTGTGAGACGCGACGCGATGCTGTCACATGTTTCGAAGCAAGAGAGAACGAGTGAACGGGAAGCTAAGTTAATAATTGCTTGGTATCGCAGCCTTAAAAATAAATTTATCCTAAGGGCCCTGGAGATAAAAGTCCCTCGATGTTCTTGCGTTGTCCCACGATGATGGAGACCTGTAAGTAAGCTGAAACTAAAAAGCATTTAGTTAAACAGTTAAATATAATAAATTGGGAAACACGAAGAAATAAAATAAATGGGCTCAGAGAAACCGTAAGAAGTGACGTAAAATAGACATGGACAAGAGCACAACATATACAACAAGCAACATTTAAGACAGGAATAAAATATGGGAACAAATAAGAAGCCAGAAGTAAAATATGTAAGAAATCCAGAGAAATGAAAAGAAGGTGAAACGACAGATTCAAGCTTAGCAGACATTTGAACAAGAAGTGAGAAATTGGAGATTTAGATATCACTCACCACTGTGTCAATGAAACAGATTTGTACATGCAATGTAGAATGTGCATCGAACAAACCAAACAAGAAACAAGTATTGAAATATGGAAGGGAACCAGAGAAATAAAAGTAAGATGTAACCCCACAGATGCTCGAAGGTCGAAAAGAAAAGGAAATTAGAAAGAGACGGAACTCTCTCACAAGTGGTCAGTAATGGTCAATATTGATCAGCAAAATTGACCAGTGCTCGCCCAGTGGTCAGCACTGGTCAGTAATGGCGAGTAAAGATGGAGCGCGGAACCACGGGGTTCCGTCACGTCCGCCAGCGCCGAGAAAGAGAGAGAGAGTGAGAGCCCGTGACCGGCAGGTAGCCTCAGGTAGAAGAATTAACAGAGTGGGGATGACCCGTCCTTGGCGAGTTCACCAATCAATTAACGGTTAACCGTGCCTTTGACCGACAAATGAATATTCTACGAAAAATGGTATTAAAACAATTATTTATACAACCCAGGCTATCGAGCATTATTTTAACTATTGTCTGATGTTGATTAATAATTATTGTAAACAATGGGTATGAAAATATGGAGAAATTCGAGGAGACTGAAAGTTTCTTTGAATTTCTGTCGAGAACCAAGGTCGTGCATCGTCGTATTTATTTCTTCGATCCTCTGTCCTTCATACGATGCTTTCTTTTGTATGTGTTTCCAACTTTCATTTCTTATCAGTAAATTATACGGGGTTCTAAGGAAGAAATAAGTAAACTGTGTCGCTAAAATCGCAAAACAAAACACAGATTAATGCATACAAAGAGAAGTTGTGTATTTTGGATCGTAATTTTGGAAAATATTCAAGCATGCGAGAATAATTCTCGTGTCGGCCAATTGGAACGTTTTAAAAATATTAAAAAGATATTAATCGTTCTGGAAAAATTATTTTTGGTTGCTGGGGGTCAATTAAAATCATTTTGGGGGGATTTCGAGGGTATGTGTATTCACCAAAGATCATTGTAATTGATCCTCGTAACCAAAAATAATTGTTAAATATAAAAACATAAATAAATTTTAATGAAATTGTGTCGGTACGTTGGCTTTCGAAACTGTCGCGCTCTTGCGGCTAAACCGTCAAACTGTTTAAATCATTCGTAACCGAAATGGTAAGCTGTGGTTGTTTAGTATTTTTATTTTTATTTTTATTATTATCGTATCGATGGGACAATCTAGAACGGCAGATGCTTCCTATTTTGTTGCATGAGGTGCAATGCTCGCAGAAATGCCCGATAATCAATTTCCAAACGTCCACCTCTTTCCACGGCGAAACATTTGTGTATTGTGTCCAGTTCTCTTATGCTAATTAATTGCAACATGCATCTAGTGGACAGAGCTTTGATCAAACAGACTTTCGAAACCGTGCCAATGTTTTCTCGATCGTAATCCTGTAATCGAACAGGTTTTATTTCAGTTGTATTGTATTAAAAGGCGACACTCGCGTATGCAAATCGAAAACAATATTTCTGTATAGTCCGTATATTTAAATTAAGTTCCAAACTCAGCTGTTTGGGTACGAGTATATTAATGCGATCGCTGACCTTGAACAACTCCTCAAGATTCGGATGTTGAACTCTAGACAGTTTATCCATCGCCATAGTAACCGAATGCCGTTCGTCGAAATTTAAGAACGATTTGGGCGAAGCTTCCGAGGGCACGTGTTGCACAGGCACTAAAAGTGGTGCTCGTTCTAAACTCCCCATAGCAACAGCCTCCTCCATGGCCTCCACAAATTTCACATAATCCACATAATTTGACCTTTAAAATTCAAAATATACACCCACAATTTCTCGATCTTTATATTAAGATTTCAATCTTTACATTAAAATAGATACCTTAAAGGCGCTTGGAAAACTTTAATAATGGTCGCCATTTCTGTACAAGTCAAATTACATGCCAGCTGATCGAGACCCCGTATAAATTCTGATCTTTTTATAACGCGCTGTTTATGGACGTCGTATTGACGCATAAATTCGGAAACCTTCGAAACATACGAATAAACAAAAAATATTTCAGGAAAATATTGATAAAATATTGATATTGATAAAAATATTCCATGTTTCAAAAATAGAAATATTCGATGGTTGAATGGAGTTTTTCTTTCAGAATTGCAAGCATTCTGACCTGGGAGGACCTTCTGCATGACGCACCGCGGCTGTTGGAACCCTTCGACACAGGGGGGCCAATTCGAAAGGTCCCGACCCTTCAGGTTTTTCGATAGAATAGTATAATAAATTTTACCGTTCTGAACAGCTAATTTCTAACATTTATTTCTATCTTTTCTAGCGAAAGAATATGACTCTCAAACTATACAGAGTGTTAAAATAAAACGAAAATCAAGAATATTAATTTCTTGACCGAGGCTTCGTTAAAAAGTTATTAAAAAATTTCAAATCGTTCTAAAAAAATTATTTTCCATTGCGGGGGTCGATTACAATAATTTTTGGTGAATAGACATACCCCCGAAATCCTACCCCCTTTTGAGAAAAAAATTCGGGTAGGTGGACATTTTTCGGCGAAAAAGAATTCTTTCAAATCGTTCTGAAAAAATTATTTTTAGTTGCAGGGGTCAATTACAATAATTTTTGGTGAATAGACATACCCCCGAAATTCTACCCAGTTTCGAGAAAAAAATTCGAGAAGGTTTGAAATTTTTCGGCAAAATTAAAAAATTTCAAATCGTTCTAAAAAAATTATTTTTGGCTAAAGGGGTCAATTATAATAATTTTTGGTGAATAGACATATCCCCGAAATTCTACCCAGTTTCGCGAAAAAAATTCGAGAAAGTGTGAAATTTTTCGGTAAAATTAAAATATTTCAAATCCTTCTAAAAAAATTATTTTTGACCACAGGGGTTAATTACAATCATTTTTGGTGAATACACATACCCCCGAATTCCCGCGCATTTTCGAGAAAAAAATTCAGTAAGGCCGAAACTTTAAACGTTAACAACTTTTTAACGAAGCCTCCATTAACAAATTGGTATCCTTGACTTTCGTGCTATTTTGCCCTCTAGAATCTCCCATTACAATTTTCCCGAGAGGCCAAGCACCGTGTATCTGCAATGCTATTGAAAACAAATTGTATTAAGTCGAAGTTTGAATGGTTTACCTTGACTCTATCGCGAACAACTTTTGCTTTGATTTTAGCTAAAATTAAAACAATATTTGTCTCGTCGGGATCAGCTTCTAATGGGGGTTTTTCAGCATTAACTAGTCTCTTCTCTTTTAACAACGAGACGTATAAAGATTCCTCCACCGCATGGGCTTCTAATTCTTTTAAAAACCATATGTAATTAAAACCTAAGTCGTCGTTGTATCTCTGCTCTAATGCAAATTCCTCTTCCGGTAAAAGTAACACCGTTACGGTCGTTAAAACCTGTCGAAATTGGGATCGCGTCACGTGTCCATTGTTGCGTCTAAAAAACGGAGGTGGAAATCTGTGATTTCGTATTTTTATTAGAATAAACTAACCGCGCGTACCGATCGTAATCTTTGAAAAACTGTTTTATCAAAATTCTTCTCTCGATCACGCGATGTCGAATTTTGTCCAAAACGTCCTCGCAAAGGTCTCTTATGGTTTTCTGTTCGCATTGCCAATTGGACGTTCCTTTTCGACTCAATTCTACTATTTCTTTCGGCGGTGATTCGATTCTCAGATTCGGTAACTTATCGAGCTCTTTCACAGTGAAGACTAGAATTTAGAGTTGAATTTTATACATGTAACTATATGATCATACTAATTATCAGGACATAGAAGTACCTTGATCGATGTCGTCTGCAAAGGTGCGCCAACAGACACGATCTGGATCATTTGGATCTTTGTAAAGAACAATCAGAGCGTCGATTTCCGGTTCTGCTAGGTACAAACGTCCTAAGCTTGAAATTTGTAGACCGTCCAAACCTCTCTTGAATTGTGAAATGGTCACTCTTCCAGAATTCAGAGAATCGAACCTCTGCCATTAATTTCTGATTGATTATCTCGCGTTTCGCGATAACATAATTTACTTGAAAATTGTATTTCTACCAGAGGTGAAGCAGTGTTAAGAAAAATGGACCTTGTAAAATTCGGAAATACGCATTCGAGTCTCGAGAACGTGTCTTTGAACTCGTTGAATCACTTCCGTCAAAGGCATGAGCTCCCTGGGCTCCTCGATCACCGGATGGAAAACAGTTTGCTTTCCAAATACCCTGCTGACCATCTTTTTCCCGATTTCTGGTCGAGGAAGCTTAGGCAGTTCCGCCGTGATGATTCGACCGGGAAACTGGTCAAGGATTCTCTTTCGAAAGAATCGTTCGCGAATGAATAATTTAAAACGATGGTTTTTAAGTAATTAGAATCGTAATTAAATATTACTCCGTCGAGAGACAACATTCCATGCTTGTCGAAGTAAGCCTGAACTTCGTCGATTGCTTGTAGAAAAGCAACGTAATTGATAGTGTAGGCGTCTCTGGCGAATCTCTTTACTAGCAAACAATACTCTTCGGAATCGAGAACAATGCCCAGAAATGCCAAGATCCGTCCAAAATGTGTAAAAGTCACGCTTCCAACATTTTTCGCGATCTGCAAACGATAATTATAATCGGAGATCCGTCTGGTTTATATTATCGGCAGATTTTAATAGCTAAATGCAAATTGCAACGTACTAGCTCGTAATCTTGAAAGTAAGGCCTCAATACTAGTCTCCTTTTGTTGATTAGAATAGCTATTTGAGTAACGATAAGGCATAATTTTCGATACTCGTTTGCACTTAGGCGATTCACGTGCTCCGGATCTTCCCATTCCAAACCGGTTACGAGTGGTTTGTTCTTATCGAATCGAGGAACTGTAGAGAAAGCAGTAGTTCCTTTCTAGATGCAGTTTCGTGATCGTTGCAACGACGAGCAAATTGTTATTCGTTATTCCTGAATAAGATTTACCCGACCCTGGATTCGTGCAGGTAGATAACTGTTAGAAAACTGCATGGCATTGGGCATGGGTCGGATATTTGGAAGAGGATACAAGTTGACTTAACGGTACTGGGTCAGGTATGCCGGTCAACTACGAATTCCTTTCTTTTTAGGCACGCCAGTGGCTTTCAAAACCTTCTAGGTGGCATTTCTAACCATTTGTTTCCTCAATATTTAAGTAAAGTAAGTGTATCGATAAAAAGAACAGTCGATATTCCCGACTGTACGATTGTACGTTTTCTTTTCGAATAAAAGACAATATTCTCGTTTTCCAAAAAACAAAAATGTAATATAATTAACATTGTAACTGTTGATATTTGTAAATAATATCAAACGTACGATTAAAAAGATTTTAGTAGAAAAGTATGTATACCGCTGTCGTGAATAATGGTGCAAAACTGGGAATAAAAGATTCTGCCATCTTGTACACGAAAGTAATCAGCCAGATCGCAAATTTCTTTGTCAGATAAACCAATTTTATCTTTTAAAGGGCCAGCCAACACGGAAACGAACTTCGATTCTGCGTATTAACAAAAATATTACGTAAGAGATGTTCAAGCATATAATAAACATTTAACATTAATTTTGTACGTGTACAATATCTGTATTAAACGAGGTTATGTGCCGGACCATTTTTGGCGGGAATATCATATCGAATTCCTATCATTGGTCGCATAGATTTAATCTATGTATGTAGATATATTAAAATAATAAATAATTTTATCTATAGACAATTCATATAATTGTACCTGAAATTAAGCAATTATTGTTAGGATCTAGAGGTTTATAGTAATTCCATAGATCGAATCCTACGCGAAATATTGCTGCTCGTATTTTGTTGCATGTACGCCAAACATCCTGTAGCCTCAAAATCTATAGACATAATAAACGATGGTTATCAAGGGGCAGACAGAATACTCGTATTTCCCCTCGACATCCTATTTTAGAAAATGGGGGGAAACAGACCTTCTGTTCCTCGGGCATTTCTGTAGTACGGTAGGCCTCAAATATTTCACTCAGAAAATTTTTCTACAAAAGTATCTACGAATTTATGAAACACATGGAGGCTCTTCCGAAAACAAAAGATGAACGAATATTTTCAATAAGTATAGAAAATGTAGATTACAATATATGGGTAATAATTAACAAGATCCGACAATGGATAATAAATTCCTGGACAGTTATGATTAAAACAGAAGAAATAGGGAAAGGATGCCAAAATGATATGCGTGGAAAGTGTTTAATTTGAAATTTACATAAAAAATGCTTCATACGTAAATACTAGCAGTATTCCACAAATAACCGTCCGAAACGTGGCGACATCTAGATCAACAGCAGCGCCAGCTGCTAGCGTCTATTACACGCCTACATGAGAACGCTGAATCAACGATAAACGTTTCCCGCTTTATTGGTCAATAACGCGGGAACGGAATCGTTTTTTCCTTCCTGCTTAATAAAATAAAAAATGGCAAACGGTAGAAAGAAAGAAAAATTTTTTTATCGAAGAAAATGTACGTAAGCGAAGTAAAATATGTTCCTACGCGATATTTTATTGATCTCTTCGAAATTATTACGCGTAGCATTCTGGGAACTGATGCTACTGAATGGAGCCAGTTCCTCGCGTGTCCCTATTGGCCAATTCATGCTGCTCAGTGTTTCTCGCAAATGTGATTGGTTCTTCGTTCTCGTTTCGCTCCCCACGCTCGTCTAAAATTTTCGTGTGCATACCATTATATCCACTGTTCCCCCTTAACATCATGGAATGCCCAGCAACATCGATTGGCGAAACAGGGACGTATCAATCCCTCGAAAATTAGGCGTTTTATCATTTCTACGGAGAAATCAAACACCCTACATAACGAATTTTACAATAATATTCACTCCGCGTTAAGGAAATTAATACGTTTTCACTGGGGAAAGAAATGTGGAAAGTACCCGAGGAAAAAATTAATAATATTGACCAGGTTGAATCGATTTACCTGAAAAAATTTAATTTTTTCTGATCGTACCCGTTATATTGTATATATTCGACAAACTAAATGTTAGGGACAAATTGTATGATAAAAATAGTTTCGGAATATGTATCTATCTAACCTTTCTTTTATACTGTGAAAGCAAATCGTGTAAAATATATAACACTTACAGAAAGTAATTAAATTCTGTGCAAGCTTAGAATTGTATAAAAAGAAGGTAGTTTTGTTTATGGTATAGAAACGACTGTATATAAATATTTCTGAATTTTCAGGGTGGCACGGTGTCGCGATGATACGACACTGGACGTTGAAATCTGATTGGCTGCGGACATTAGGGGAGGTAAAGAGATTCCATGATGCTTTGCGCGGAATCTCCTGAGTCAAACTGAGCGCAAGTCGTACTTCTCCCTTCTCCATTCGGCGGCCGAACAGTACGGACGTGAGAGTGTTGTTAGCTCGTGCAGTGTATTTAAATATTCTCTAAAGCACGATTTATAATTGTGTTTTTGTGTTTCCTTTATTAAAAAAACTGAAAAAAGTATAATAAAATAATGGCCGATCAGGAGAACAAGGACTTCAGCGAAGATATCGCCGATCAAAACTTCGAGCAGAACGGTGAAGCGGAGAACGGCGGCGGGGACGCCGCAGAAAATGGCCAAGAGTCGCAGGAGGACAGGTAACCTTTCCCGTCTCTGGATCTCAATTCTTTTCACTTAAATCGAACGTTATTAGCAAAAATTACCAATTACAACCCGATGCTCATTAAACGCGCGTGAATTCACAATAAACGATTCCGTACCGAGAAATTGCTTTGTGCGATACACGATTATCGCGGAATGACAAAATGGCGGATACGCGAGGTTCCCAAAATTGTAATCCATCTCCATCGATCATGAAACAAGTATTTCGAGTATTACAATTAACTTATTTTCATCTGCTGCAGTATGGAAAATCCTTAGGTATTAATCTTTTTTGGAATAAGCTATGAACAATAGAGGGAAGTGATTTTTAGCGAGGCAAGTAGGAATGCCGGCCGCAAGTTGAGAAAGGGCGCGCCCACGCATTGTTGTAAAAAGCAGTAAAGAGAAAAGTGAATTTCAACGATGAAAAAAAAAGTATTTCGTTCGTATCTTTGAACGCACTTTGCTTGGGTTCGTGTTTTGTCTTTTGTTACGATTACATCGTATCACGTCTTGGAAATTTTCCCACGCAACAAATTATCACGCATTTCGTGCAACAAAGCAGGATACTTATTAAATAATTTTACGTAAATGTTAATCGATATGTAGATTATTCAGGGAGGGAAATGCGCAATGTTTCGTTAATTTAGTAACGCCGTGATATTTTTAAAAGTATAATTCGTAGATTTTAAGAATTCTTGGTGGCTGGTGGCACAGCAAGCACCTTGCCTTTCCCCTTTTTCAGCGTAACGAGATCTCAAGCTGGACGATTTGCCTACCGACGAGTTTAGTCCGATGTCGATGTTGATGTACGGAACACAGTCTTATGTAAATATTTTGTAATATTTGCACTACATCCGTTCTTTATTCTCTTTTCATTATCACAGCATTTTGGGTTCTATACCAAAGGGATTATTTGACTTTTTTCCCTTGTATCCCTACAGCTTTGGATTGTCGCAAACTTGTTGCATAGTTTGGGGTATGTTTTTGCAATATGGGTAAGCTATTCTTAGATTTTAACTTGTAGAAATATTTAAAACGATATTGGGAGAGAAGATGTAACCTTCAAATTTAATGAAACTGTTATTGGAGAAAGACACATTAAATGTTAATGTACGAATATGTTTATGCTTATTTTTAGCATGTTGCGTTCAAGACGTGATAAGAATTTGGAGGTGTGCCTCCTCTAACCCATTACAAATTAACGGTTGCGCGTGTAAGGGACGTGATTTCTATGCATAAAGTAACAAGAGTTAAATAACTGATGGCCGGCATTCTACTGTTTTGTTACGAAAACAATAATAATACGAGAGAAATAAAAATAAATGTTGCATGTTATATATTTTTTTTCTTTTTTTTGAAAACTAAGATAAGATACTTGTATACATATAAGAATAAGTATTAATTATAACTTTTATATGTGCTGTTGTTGCGAGGTATAAGTTTAATTGTTTAAAGTTTTGTAATTTTTGTGTAAACTCCTAATTTCTGCTCTTCCTACCTAGTTAATTCTATATTCTAGTTTTGTAATTCGTGAAAAAGAGGTTATGATCTCATCAATGATAAAAATTTGTACACGTTGCGCAAATAATAATTGTAATATTTTTATAGAACATAAACTTTGAAATGCATTTTTGGCCGGCTGAGTCTTCCTCGTTGATTCATTGCAGCTGAATTCTGGTTAGTCAATTGTTTACGATTGACAGTATGTACGCTTTCCTGGGATCTGTGAACCGAAACGTGAAGCCTTATGATTGACTTCCGAGTCTGAATTATTGTGAGAAGTCTGCGTCAAGTTCAAGTCCGTCATGTTTCGTCACAACACAAGCACTGGAAGTCGAGTCAATTACGTCAGATCAATAAGTCTCGCACAGACACACACTTGCCTGCTGGGTCACGCGTAGAGTAATTTCTGATCCGATGTCAATGCTGTTTGGGCGTGATCAAAGCACAGAGTCACTAGGGCCAATGCGAAAAACTCCAATAGGTCGGAATGCCATTAACCCAGTTTATGTGGCTTGGTCTGCAGGTGGCAAACGACCCAGTGCGATTATGGCGGGCGGCTCGCAACCGGCTAACCGTGACCCGACCAACAACTGATTACCGGCGAGTGACTGGTGCCTACGGTATTTATCACCAGCCCTAGATGATACATGAAAAGATCGATCTAAGTACAGACAACTACCATCACACTGCCAGAAAAGTGAAAAATATTGCAGCTCGTTATATATATATATTTGTATATGAAAAGGCTGAAAAGTATATATCAGGAGTCGAAACATAATAATATTTTGCTGATGACTAAACAAAGAGAGAGAAAGAGAGAAAGAAATATAACATATATATATACGTATATACATAAATATAAATAAACGTCCAATATTCTGTGCCATATAGATATTTAAAAAAAGTATCGAGAAGTTCATCGTTAACTTGTAATGCAAAAACAATTTTTTTAGCTTTTTAATAGAGTTGCAGTCTATCTACCATATGCCAATTCTTTGGGCCAATCAGCAGTCAGAGTTCAACTTGGAAAAGTTAAATCTTATTTCCTTTAGGAGCAGCTGTATGTCAACTGGAGTTGTAACTATTGTTCGGGTTCACATGAACGTCATGAAAAGTACTTTGCTCTCTCATTGTGTTAATTTTTACATATACTTTTTTTGCAACTTTTTCCTTTAATTTTTGTTGACAAGCACATTTATCCGAAGTTCAAATCAAGGTCTCTATGTGGTGTGCAAAGCAGTCTCTTCTCATGGTTGTTTCTTATAATCCTATGTTTCTTATTAAGGATAAACACGTATCTTTTGTATGATAACCTTGTATCAGTGAGTTCATTTATTCTAGGAATATGGTATTCTCATGTTTTTTATTAATATCGTTAACTATCACAATTAAGATAATTTTACTCTCACAAAGATATTCTTCCAAATTTTAAAGTAGACATTACCGTAGGTTGTTTGATCGACTATAGAATACATTTATACACGAGTATATAATAATATTTATATCGATTAAGAAGCTTTTAATAAATTAACATAATATATATATTACCTATTAAATAAAATTCCTTACCAAATGTCTTCAAAAATTTATCCAGTGACCCTTTTCCGAACGATAATATTATACTGGTCTAATTACGTTTCTTGTATATTGTTGATATTAAATTTTAATATTTTAACTCTTCTAATTTTTCCAGGGGTCAAGTCAAAACTCCTTTTTCAAATATAAATGGAAATGATTTGTAACAAAACTTAAAATTTTTGCTTCAACCTTAGTCCTTTATTATATAAATTTCAAAGATCGTTGTAATAAAATTCATTACATTACTTTGCAGGTCAAGCGGAAGTAACCAGGATTCGTTGAATGATAGGTACATTCAATTTTTATTATCTTTTTGTTTTGTTTTTAAGTCCATGCATGTCAGTGAGTATTTCAAAAAATACAATAAGTGAATTGTGTACTCGTCATATTGAAATGATAGCCAATTTATTAATAATATTGGATTATAATTTTAAAGGAAAAAGATTACTACAATTGTAATTTTCAAACACTTTCAAACACTTGTCAATAACAAAGATCTTATTGCAACAAAATAGAATATTGCTTATTAAAAAGATTGAGTCTATAGTCCTCTAAAACTGAAAATTGATGTCGTTCAACAATTGTTTTATTTTTGCTTTTTACAGAAAATTGTTTGTTGGTGGGTTAAGCTGGGAAACTACAGATAGTGAGTATATTTCTTTTCTTTTGATTAAGTATTGTTTTTTATTTATAAACAATGATGTTTCTTCTTAGGACACCTTCAGATGACTTTGTCATATGAGATAGTATTATGAACTGAGTTGTTTTTTATTATAATTCTATCGATTATAATGAATATTCATAACTTCATTATTTTTTAAACCAAACCTATTGTTTTACAGAGGAATTACGAGACCACTTTGGCACGTATGGTGATATTGAGAGCATTAATGTGAAAACGGATCCTAACACAGGACGATCGCGAGGGTTTGCTTTCATTGTTTTTGCAAAAGCTGAATCTCTAGACAAGGTAGAGTAACAATAGAAAATAAACAGAATACTTATTTCAAGATCAAGAATTGTTAGAAATTGAAAATTCAAAACCAAATCTTTGAGAATCGTGAGATTATTGAGAAACTTTCAGTATGATGATATTTTTTTATTGTCAGTTCTGCTACTGACTTATTTGATGATACTTCCTTAGCTGAATTTAAAAATCACAAAACAAATTCATCAAGACAATGTACAAGAATATTATTAAAGGTCTTTGGTAATTTCAGATTATGGCAGCTGGCGACCACGTAATCAATAACAAGAAAGTCGATCCCAAAAAAGCGAAAGCTAGGCACGGTAAAATCTTCGTTGGCGGTCTTTCGACAGAATTATCAGACGACGATATCAAGAATTTCTTCTCCCAATTTGGAACTGTAAGTTTCCCTGTCCTCCAATTTCATCAAGTTCCATCAGTTTTTCTAATTGCAATTGTATTGTTTCAGATCGTCGAAGTAGAAATGCCATTCGACAAGACAAAGAATCAACGGAAAGGGTTCTGCTTCATTACTTTTGAATCCGAGCAAGTGGTAAATGAATTGTTGAAGACTCCTAAGCAAACGATCAATGGTAAAGAGGTACGTTTGAAAACAATGAATGGATCCTGTACGATTGATAGCAATTTGTGCGTGTATTGAAACGATTTAATATTGTACATAGGTCGACGTGAAAAAAGCTACACCTAAACCAGATGGTATGGGAGGAATGCGGGGCGGTGCTGGTGGACGAGGAGGTCGCGGAGGAAGAGGTGGACGAGGACGCGGATTCGGCGGTCAAGGTGGATGGGGACAAGGTGGATACGGAGGTGGATACGGCGGCGGTTACGGTCAAGGCGGCTATGGCGGTGGCTATGATGGCTACGGAGGAGGCTACGATTATTACGGCGGTGGGTACGGCGGCTATGGTGGTTACGACTACAGTGGATACGGTAATTTTATTGATTATTATTAAAGAACTTACACGCGCTTATCGCTGTGTAGGATCATTTCGAAGAATTTGGTTTTTTCCTTTTCATAATAATCAATAGCAGAAGATTATCTGCTACTACCGTCCCAGTGTATTCGGCAGACGATATCATAACTTTAAAATTATTATAAGTTATATCTTTTATGTTCAACCTGTCTAGTCTTCCTCTATATATATATACATATATATATATCTCAATATATACATATATACATATATAGACATTTCATTTAACGCCGTAATTTAGGGAGTTGTGCAGGACTTCGAAATTACGAGTGTTCTTTGGTCAAATATCTGAACATTTTGTCACATATATGCTCCAAACAGTCTTATCGAAACGATTTGAAACATATTTTATTTAATCGGATGGAGTACTTAACTGCAAAATTTCCGACGATCGACGAGAAACGGTTTAATGTCAACCACGACAACATCTTTTTTTTGCAGATACCGCACAAGCTAGAAATATAGTTCGTAAATATGAGCATAGATGAGTTGCGATACAGAACTTTCAGTTCGGAGAATCCAAACGTTTGAACGTAGTATCCGATTATATAAAATCTATCCTGAAACAAGTGTCAAGTATATAATACATATATGTGGCAAGAAACATACAATAAAACTTTTAAAAATTATTATCTGACTCAAGGTTCCTGTTGCCTGCGTCCCTAATGATTGCTTTGAGTAAAACTCGTATTACGTATAATTTTAATTATTATTATACATAAATCCAAATCGTCTGCCTCTATATAGTACTACTTACTTGGTAGTACGTTGATGGAATGACTAAAATTGGTATTGTTTGTATGTATCATACAAAATGATAAAAAGATGTGTGATATTAATTATAACTGACGCTGCAGGGTGAGCGCTGGTTTGCAGGCGGATCAGCGGTATTTTTAATTGTTTTGAAACTTCACATGATCGAATAAATTCCATTGCAAACGAACGACGCGGTTTGACAAATATTTTACTATTTTCTAAATTCGAGTTTTGAATACTGTTGAATGTTACTTCATCGAAGTAAACCAGCAGCTCAAATACGTAGAAACTACATTCGGATTATGTTATTTTACCTTGCGAAATACGCTGCTACATGTCTCCTTCAGACTATGTCGAAACAAACACTTTTAAATTCATAACGGAAAGGTTGAAAATCATGATCCGAATAGTAAATCCCTACTTCCAGAGGGTTGGCTGTTTTTGAGCTGTGACCAACTACCTATTTATTCTAGCAATTTGCTAAGTTATATTCTTTGATGCCTTATGAATATTTAACTTATATATATGTATATATATACACGTACACAATATGTATATATATACATCTATATATATATATATATATATATATATATACACACACATACATGCGAATGAATATAAACATAAACAATAAATTCAAAAAAAAAAGCAGAATATCATATAATATGTAACAGTGAATGTGTGAAGAAAATGAACGTTATATTACAGTCTCTAATATAAACGGTTCAGTTTTCTTTGATATTTAGACTCTATATATACGTAAATACGAATTCTACGCAGCAAATTATTCTCATTTCCTTTTGAAACAAAACATTTTTTAGCCATTTTTTGTCGTTTATCGAATACACGGAACAAAAAAAGTTTCTTGACGCATAAAAAGTATTAATATTTCATACGTTCACTGATTGATGTCAGTGAATCAGTGGAATAAATAAATTCGTTGTCGGGTTGTTCTCTTGTAAATTCTGCAGACTCGCTGACTTCAAATGCACGCAGTCACTGTAACATACTTATATGTGAATTTATGATGTGTAGAAAACATTAAAGCAAAACTACACAGGACTATATGTCGTATGAAATGGTATATTAAACCTTCAATCCTTGCTTTCAAGTCCTGCCACTTAATCCCGATATACGCATGTTTTTACATACTTCCAAATTTCACGTAATCACCTCATTCATATAATGTTTAACACGCTCCTTCGACAATATTCAAATTATCGACACTTGCCGAAAATTGTGTTTGACCTAGTTTTCTTTTTTTTCGTTAATTTGCTTTCCATTTGTCTTTGGCATGATTTTTTTTATTTCTATTTACAAGAACAAACGAACCGGAATCGACTTGCAAAAATTATTTTACGCTACTCACACCGCGTCGATATTTTCGTTGGAAATAACGTAAAAGCAAATTGTCATTATGAATTTACGTGTTCGACCCCTGCATACACTTTCCTTTCCCTGGGACTTTGGCGAATCATTATATAATCATCACATTGAAAGTTTTTCGCCGTTATATATGTTTAAAAGTTTCAAGTGCATGTCATTTTTAATGAACAATTGACTCAAATAGTATTTCGAGAAAGAAAATTTTATGAACAGCCTCTGCACTTATGTTGTATGTTACATAATTAAATGTGCAAACAATGAACCCTTTGGAAGACATGATTGTCTTGTCACATTGTTGTGAAAATACTTGTATTGCGTGATACGATTTCTAATACATTTGCAACGAGCGTTTTAATGTTCAAAGTTTCTAAAGCTGACAAGATTTTTCTTTACATAGACAATGACAAACGCGGGTTTATACATCTACGGTAATTTAGTATTATTATCATAGTAATATTTTACCATAGAAATAAAAGAAAACCATAAAAATAAAAGTAACAGTTATCGGTACATGTTAATACTGACCCCATTGTCTCTTGTACCGTGTGTTCCATGAAACGCAGACGGCTATGGCTATGGCGGTGGTAGTTACGATGGTGGCTACAGTGGTGGGCGCGGTGGTGCACGCGGTAAAGGTACGCATTAGCGTTCCTTCTCTATTTTGTATATCCCCGACCGTCCCATCTTTGTTAGCAATATGTCCATTTTCAAAAGTCATTATCATTTCATCGATTATTTTTCATCAGCCATTACTTTATTTCCCCATCTTGTTTGCCTTTTATCCTCCCGTCAACGTTTCCCTTTATTTTCTCTAAGTATGTGTGTACATGTACGTGTGAGCATATGAAACTTATATTTTACTACTTTCATACTTACGATACTGTTAAGGATAATATGGATTTTAAACATTAATCTAATGCGCATTACTAAATGCATAGAAACATTAATTTTCTTACCACTTTCTTTCATATAGATGTTTCCATCGATTTTGCTTGTTTAGTTTGTTTGCAAATCGATGTTACTTACCTTGTTTTCTTTAACCAAGTAATAAATCATCTACGTCATGTTTTTAAACAGTTGCACTCGTCGATGGTACTTTGCATAATTTGTTTGCAAAACGATGTTACTTCTATGTTTTCTTTAACCAAATAACAAAAGTCTATGTCTTTTTATTAGACAGTTGGACTCCGTCCGAAATTAATGAGCTCTATACTGGTTGTTTTTTTTTCTTAACATTTGACATTAATAATTAATTTTTTTAGCTCCATAGTGAAAGGCCTATCAACTATCTATCGGTGACATCGCAGTAAACGATTTGAAAAAGCACGTATAAAGAAAAATACATGGTTACTTAATATTATACTGCTTTCTTAATCACGTTTGAGAATGGCAATAGTACGTAACACGTTTAACTAAACTATAGTATACGTTTTACACGCTATTAGCGATAAATACTGCTTTGACTTCACTAGGAAATCGAGTTAAAGGTTCTCAAATAAATTAAGAATTATTTGAAACGATGGTTTCCGATAAAGAATCTTTTGATCTTGAGATAACATCTCTTATGATCTGATTAACTTCAAACAAAACTGGTAATTACATAGTACTATTTTATAGTGAAATACTGGAAAATATTTTTGTTTCGAATGAAATCCAAATTTTATATTGCAAGCAAAATTTTTATTTATGAGATATAAAAAATATCGTATTCTGTATGTTAGATATTTCGAAAATGTTTGGTTAAAGAAAAATTTATTTTATACAATTTTTATAAATAATAATTCTTGCTATTAATATTGTTTGATGTTTTCTTCATAATTATGTAACAAAAATATTATAGTTTGTTTTTCACTGGTGTCTTAATCAATTTCTTCTGCATGTTACGTTGAGTTTCATCAAAATTTATCGTCTATGCAAAGTAGTACGCATTAAACTATAAATAATGAAGAATGGAAAATTGTACTTGATACCAACACCGCTAAATCCATCTCATCTTTGTTTCACTTACACATCCTTTAACCTTAAACATTTCTGGTTATTTTGTAGAAATAATTTAAAATTATTCTTATTAATGGTACATAGAATCATGCTGTTAATCCTAAGACTTTATAAGTAAAGACTTATTTAAGGTTATTTTTAGATTGTTTAAGTAATTCGAAAGTTTTCTTAAACATGTATTCGATACAATCTCTTAGTATTCCAGCATACGAAGATTCCAGAAATGTATAAGGAGAAAAGGAGAGTATGAATCAGAACGCAGCCTGCAGCTTACTACCTTAGCCTGTAGCCTCTATGTAGATTCTTCGTAGTTTTATATCCATTACGTTAGTCTGTATTTTCATATTATTTCATACTTTATTCTGTTATTGATAGAAGTGTGCGTGCGTTAATTTCCATGAATTGACCATTTTACGGTCTTTTTCTAATTTTTAATATTAAATATAAAGAAACGAAAAGAAACGGTGGGAAGGAAGAGGGGGAATAACGAAGTTGCTGGACTAACGTACGTCATGGGTATTGTTTCAGGAGGCTCAGGCTACGGCGGAAAGCAGAGGGGAGGTGGTCGTCAGAACCAAAGGCACCAACCCTATTAATGGAAATCATTCATTGCGACCGCAATGCAATTCGCATTGTAACCGCTGGTGAGTCATCATAACTTTCCTGACATCTATAACTTCGATATCAACAACCTTTTTCTTCCTTTTCCAATATCACTTACATTGAAACATATATTGTTTTTTTTTTTTTTTTTTTTAATGCGACTAAATTAATTTTAGACGCGCGATAGATGGAGACGCGCGCGACGGAAACGTTTCAATGATTATTTTTTCTTTCCAGGTTTCCTGTCCTACAACAAATCTCATAACTCGTTAAATCATCATTCCATTAAACCACGCCTCTTTCAACAAGAATTTCAACAACGCAGATTACTGCCGCAAAATAAAATGAATCATCAGGAGTCACGACAAAAACTGTAATAGCTTTTCACATCTTGCGTTTAGCAATACATCTGTATTATCGAAAACAACAGAAGCAAAACATATATACATATATATATTATATATATATATACATATAGGTACATGATGCTTTCTTCCATCTCTCGTTTACCCATTTGTACAAAGCGAAAGATACTTCATGTTTTTCATTGGTCTCGGTTCATCTTATTTATCATTAACTTTTTTTTTTACTCGCCCGTTACGTTACACGACGTTCAGTGTAAGGCACCCCTGTCGTATCGTAGTACGTTTGCAAAGAAATTAACGTTGTACATTGACAATATAAAATGTAGTACAATGATAATACCAAACGTATGGATGACTAAATCGACGTTTACATACCTTACGATGAAACATTGTAACGTATTAACATATATTTGTGCAAACGGGGAAAGCAGAAGATGGGAAATAATTTAAAATACAGATATTAGGAAGAATCAAGTTTTCTTATTCACCGCTTGGGACTGTCGAAGAACAAATTCGTCCCTATTTTTAACAATAAGATTATTTTAATTTGTCTATATAAAACTAAACTTAATAAGATGAAAAAAAACCCACTATAGAAGAGTAAGCAGGCAATGTACTTTTTACACGGCTACGTTAAGACAAAAAAAAATGAAAAGTACCGAGTTGTTTATAATGATTGTGGGAAGAATGAAATGAAGTAAAAAGATTATTGCTTCCTTATTGGTAAGAAAAATAGGATAAAATAAATTCATGTTGTGTACATAATATATCTCGCGTATGTTTGTATTTTTGTTGACCGATCCTAATAATTTAATTTTTTGAAAAGAAAAACGAAATATGTACACAATAGTTCTTTCAAACATAGTGATGAACGTCGATATACTAGATTTAAATAAGACTGACACGGAGGTTTTGTGAATTTGCATTGCAAACAATATTTTGCTGATTCTACTACAGTACTTGTATCGAGCTAGATATTTCAGTTTTTAATCTACACTCAATGATAACACTGTACATTATATTTATATATATATCGACAATTTCATTCTAGACAAAAAAAGGTCGTCGTAATAAGGTTTTTAAAGTAAAAGGAAATATTGTATTTTTCTCAAATTCAACACTGTTCCATGTCACAAAAGTATTACATTAAAAAAAAATTAGAGAAAAAAAAAGTGTTGCCTTTTAATTACACAATTGAAGTTTCTTGTAATATTATATACGAATTCGAAAAAATTATTTTAGAAAATTAGACGAATTATACTTGTATAGTTTCATGTTTCATAAATTTATAAAATTCGAAATTCTTTTCTTTATTTGGCAATTTTTTTTACAGTCCAGTATTGCAGTATTTTATAGTGCAATAATTATGTTACTATATTACTTAGTAAGTAAACAAAATTATTTTTCGTGTTTATTTGATGGTTTGTGCCAAGACAAAAAAAAATGAAATGAGTTTTTTTGCATGTGATACTTATATTATCCACTTCTATCCTGTTGGAGTAACAAAAAATTGTACATTCTAGACACAGCTTGTGTTTCGATGTAATCTCATACTTCAACATTTTAACTAAAATATTTTTAAATATATTAGCAACTTCGCAGATAAGTTATATATATAATAAAACATTGTATAAATTGTAATAGAAAACGCGAAATCTTAAAATTAGGAAACTTCTTTCATAAAGAACGAATCTAAGATTAATTTAAATATATCGAAAGGTTTTGTGTTTTCCATACTTTATTTAAACACGTCCAGAAGCAATATTCTCGTAATATGACATTTTTTGTTCAACCTGTAATATTATTTACAAGTGTAGAATATACTTGCGAGTCTAAATTAACTATCACGAGAACATATAATCAATACATACGTAATAAGAGCGCAAGTTACGAAACTAATGTTTCAAATTTATCATTTTAATTTCTTTACTGTGTTGTGCGTGTAAACTTACAAAAATACCGAAATAAAATGAGAAATTAGACTTCTAAATGAAAACAAACTTTCCCAGTCTGTTTAATTGACCATGTTACGTATCTTTCCTGTAACCAGAATTTTAATTGCCTTTCCTTTTGTTTCAGATATAAGTTTAATACTTTTTTCAGGTTCTCCCCTTAAACTTAAATTATCTATTTTTAGTAGTAAAAAGCATGATCGATTAAACAACTTTTTATGTATTTTGTGTAATAAATTTTCTGTTAATAACATATTAACGAACCACTATTTATTAATACGAAACTAAATATAAAGTACAGCCAATCTCATTTTTTATTTAAATTAATAAATGTTTGGTAATTATCTTGTACGTATTAATAAAAAATTTATTTACATTTGCAAATAATTATCATGACTTCCGATTGTACGATACAATTTTTTTGGTTGACAATTGAACAAATTGAAAAGTCGTGAATATTTGCAAAAAGTATTATATTATACGTATGTATTGTAATAATAAATATATTTATTAAAAGTTATCTGTATTTTTTAGGTTAGAATACAACTTTAGAATACGTAGTTTACAATTCTTAAGTATCGTTCAAAATGATTGTTATTGTGATATTAATTTTACATATGAGATGATTAAAATTAATAGTATGTAAATTTAACATCTAACAAGAGGATAATGATTTTATTATTAATGTGAAAAAGTAGATTGCCATGATAATATTTTCATCGTTATTTCATAAAATATTTATGAATTTTTGCATTATAATAAATAGAGTTATTTTAATATCATGATTTCTATATATTTATAATAAAATGTAATGAATATTACAAATAATTCATCGAGTATATAGTAATTACGTCGTAAGTCTAAAATGCGCCATTCGACAAGTTAGCCAATAGCAAATGAGTTACAGTAGAATGTAATATAATATGTAATTTCAACATTTATTGTTGATACCAGAATTTGTTATTTGTTATTCATTCAATATTATTAGTTATTCGTTTATTCGTCATGGCATCAAATGATCGAAGTTTGTTCTATTACCCTAAATTTGAAAACGACATTTGATCTATTGCTTTGATTTTATATACAATAAATATAAAATAAGTGATAGAAATTTGTTAGTTTTACCAATAATGGACTAATAATAATATTAATAATAATGATTTTATTTTGTGTTTACATGTTTTCCTTCTATGTACTACCAAACGCTTCATGAAGCTGGCGCCACTGTAGTTTGTAGTTCGTGTTCAATCCGCGATAGGTTCACTTTCTGTGACCGAGTCGTTCGTCTTTGTACGATCGATGCATCTGTGCAGGTTCCGCTGCATGTGCTGACATCAAGGTGCTTGGAGGGCTCATACATTGAACTGTTTTTATAATTAACGTTATTGTGAACTGTTGTTGTTCGCGGAAACTTTTCTGTTCTTGTAGCAGCTTCTCATTTTCACGGGGAAAAGCCAGTGGGTTGTGTCGCGCACAAGTGATTTTATTGGGTGAGTGCAGAACGCCATAAGAATCGGCCTCGCCGATGTTCTTTCATTCGACTTCTCGGTGGAAAGGCCTTAGAACAAACCAGGAAGGCAAGCATGATGCATTATCGTGAGAAACCCGGCCTATCATTCGCGAATTAGAACGATATTCGTTGTTCATGAAATACCATTCGACTTAACGAATACTTTGATACCCGTCTCGGATGATATTTATCGAAACATTCTGCTGAAATTTCGCGGCTGGGGGGGGAAATTAGCGTTACTCGTTTCTGAGATTGAGAAAAATCGCCATGCTTGCTCGTGCGACCGGCCCTTTGCCCTCGACCTCGCTATTCCTTCCACGATTCACGAGTTCAAGAGATCATCGATAGATTTCTCGTTTTCCAACACGAATTCCTGTTAATTTTCCATTTAGACGAGCACATGTTTCTCCTACCCGACTTCTTCCGTACTTTATCGTAGAATCGTCCGAATTTAACAAGATTCCAATACACATCGAGATTATACGTTTCAAGATCTTATTGTGTTTACCATTTACAAATGATACAAATACTTGATATATATATATATACATATATATATACAGGGTGATGAAAAAATGAGTCTGCAATTGAGTTGTGTGGAATTAATATGTAAATTTTTATGGATAATTATACTCATAGTTAACATTGAATGCAGATTCCAAGATCAATTCTGCTAAAATTAGCTTTCAATATTTATGAATATTTATATTCATTTGTGAATCTCTCTGAATATAAAAAAGAACTGACTTGTTAGAAGTAGAAGAAGATTGCTTCGTAGATACATGTGTTTTGAATATGGCCTTGCCAATGGAAATTTATATTTAGCCTGTTGTTTCAATGTAAAGAAATATTGTAGTTTTCAAACTTCATTTTTTAAATTATTCAAACAGATTTGCCAATATTTAACACAAATAAAAATGTATTTTACATAAAAATAATTGATCTATGCCCATTAGTACAAACTATTCTATGGGGGAAAAAAGTATTTCAGATTTTATGTTTCTACAAATATGTACGTTATTCTGAAAGCATTTTAATGTTAAGCACATCATTCTCATGTGATATCCACAGATAGCCACTCTGATTGATGTGCATAATTTTAATTTTCACCTAAATATTTATTTGTTTCTTTATTTATGCTCGAGTATACAATATATTAAACTATTATTACACATTGTTAGATGTTTTATGGTTCTTGGTACTGTATGCATTATAACCATCTTTCTTCTGTTGCAGACATTTTTCTAATATTAATATTAGCCAGGTGAACTTTCCACTGCTGTTTAAGCAAAGTATTATTTTAGACGTTAGAAGTAAGAAAATGGTCATGGAGGCATCCCCTTCTCCACAAAATGTCGGCCGTGAATTTGTCCGACAATACTACACTTTACTTAATCAAGCTCCTGCACACCTCCACAGGTAATATAATTTAAGTTTATCATTTTTGTTCGTATAATAACGACGCAACTTTATATAAACGATTGTTGTAGGTTCTACAATCAGCATTCTTCCTTCGTACACGGAGGATTAGATTCCAACAGAGAATCGACTCCAGCTATTGGCCAGAAGCAAATACATCAGAAAATTCAACAACTAAACTTTCGGGACTGCCATGCCAAGATAAGTCAAGTCGATTCGCAGCTTACGCTTGAAAATGGTGTCGTTGTGCAAGTAAGCATCAGTATTAGTATACAGCAAGGAGCATAATTGAATCAATAAAAAAAGTTTGTATGAGAAACGAAGTTCAATAATTTTATTATTTCCCATTTAATTTGTCAGTAATAGAATTTTGCTTGTGATTAAATTTTGCACACGTATTTGGTTCACTTGATATTATTGTAATGATTAAAGTAAATTACTGTGCTTTATTCCATTCATAGGTGTCTGGAGAGTTGTCCAACGCTGGTCAACCGATGCGTCGTTTCACACAAACGTTCGTGTTGGCGATACAAGCACCGAAAACGTATTACGTGCACAATGACATATTTCGTTACCAAGATTTGATATTCCCCGACGAAGAGGAAGCGGACGTAGGTGGCGTGGAAGGAGGTGTAGGCGAGGCCACTGAAAGGGAAGGTGAAGAAGGAGGTCGTCTGGAGCCAGAGGAAGATGAACATCAGAGTCAAGGACAGCAACTTTCGGTACCGGCTGCGTCCACGGAACCACAAGCTCAGCCACCGCTCATCCCCGCTCAACAACAGCAAATGTATTATGCTCCGCCACCGCAACAGTCCCATGTTAGTTTGTTATAATTAAAATACTTTAATGAGACATTGTATTCAAAAACTTTATACCGATATTATGTTTCATAATTTTTTCCAGGTACATCCAGTGATACAGCAGGTTCTAAACGGATCGGTCCACGAAGAAACTCCACTTATCAGTCAGCAACCACCGCCACCTCAGCAACAGCAGCAACAGCAGCAACAACAGCAGCCACCACCTCCACCACCCGCGCAGCAACATCAATACATCACCGAACCCACATCCCAAACACAATTCGTTCAGGAAACGCAGCTGGACAGCGCGACCGAACAACAACCAGAAACAGAGAGCGAACCACAGGCTCAAACGAACGAGATCCATGAGCAACCAGAGACTGAGACGTTCACCGCTTCCGTGCAAGAATCCGAACCTGAACCTCAAGTGTCCAACGCAAGTGTGACCAGCAGCGGTCCGAAAACTTATGCCAATCTTGTGAAATCGTTTCCAAGCACCACCGGCGCTACCAGTCCTCAAGCTCCTAAGCTGTCCATGTCACCGGTATATATTTCATGGTTGCAGTGATTCTTTCCAGCGATCAAACTCTTCTTTACTGTACACTTGACGCGAATAAAAGACATTGAAATCTTTATTTTTAGCCTCCAATGACGAACTTGCGTTTAGATGACAGATCGTCGCTCCAACCGACCAGCAGCGGACCCGCGCTCTGCACGTTTACCAACGTCTCCACGCCGCAACAGCAGACTCATAGAGTCGGGAATCAACAGCCACAGCAACAACAACAACGAATTCCCAGGGGTGGAGCGGTGCAACGAGGTAATCATGGCTATTGACGAAATCCTAGCTCGTTACAGGTTTTGTAAATAAAAAAATTGGAATGTTTTTATTGTACACCTTCTTCCCAGAGAATTGTTTAATTAATGTTGCGGCTAAATTGTCGATAACTCGAGGTAATTAATCATTTTTACAGACAGCGATCGCCGTGGGACAAGGCAAAGTCAATATAACGATGCTCACCAGCTGTTCCTTGGAAACTTGCCGCACAATGCGTCCGAGGACGATTTGCGTCAAATATTCGAAACTTATGGCAGAGTAGTGGAGCTTCGTATACACAGTAAATCGAACGACAGATGCAAGGGGCCGCAAGGGAATAACACAGCGAAAGTGCCTAACTACGGATTCATCACCTTCGAAGATCAGCAAGTTGTCAACAAAGTGTTGCAGAATCTGGTCGGTTTTCTTTATATTACGATACGAAATTCTTTTAAGCATCGAGGAGTTTTTTAGTTTTCTGTCATACGGTTTTAGCCGATTCATTATCCTGCTGGAAACGGGCAAAAAACATTAAACGTGGAAGAGAAGAAGGTGAGGCCTAGAATATCGATGGATGGCAGCGGAGGTCGCTTGAATTCGAACGATGGTAACATGAGAGCAATGGGCGGACAGCAACAACAGCAACAGCAACGAGGCCCTGGTTAGCAATGTTTTAAAAAGTGTTTGTTAAAATTTTGATCTTGCGAAGAAAGGATGAAGTTTAATTGTCATTGCTATGATTTTTATAGGTGGACCTGGAAGCGTAATGAGAGGTGGACAGCATGGTACGAGAGGCGGACGAGGAGGCTTTACACGAGGCGGCGATGGAGTAAGGGGAGGCGGTGGAATGCGACAGCCCGGTAATCCAAGTAATCCGAGCTATCAGAATCGTCGCTAATACCGGAAGCAACGTTAAAGGCAGTCTCCAATTTCTTTATTCTTGAATATGTCATCGGTATATATCTACCATCCTCATTTCCAAAAACAGAAAATCCAAGACTATCTTGAATAGCCACTCGACGTGATTAAAGGCGCTATCATTTTACGCTTAAACAACGCCTTGCGTCGTTCGTCAAGCAAGAAACACTTGATGGCGCAGCTCAAACTGTATGGAATACGAACTCGAGTAGAATAAATCGGGTTTAATTGCATTTAAGATAAGTTCGTCGTGTTCGTGGATAAGGAATAACGACGTAGGAAAAGGAATTCATTAAACGTTCAACCTTTGATTCGTTGGATATTTGATGAAGCGAAATACTACGAGTTCGTCCTTCATACATCGACGTCAGGCAACCTACAAGACTTTACAATGAAAACAAATCTACAAACCACCCGCATATACACGTATATGTACAGCAGAGCGACACGTGATATCCACCTTAGAATTATGGATGTGTTTTGTCTCCCGATCAACTCAACGTTGTCCACGGAAGGAAAAATTCGTTGCCAAGTTGTGGTGTAGTGCGGAAGAAATACCTTAGAACAAAATGGACGAAGAAAAGAACATCGTCAGTACATGTGCGTGACAGAAAAACATGGGACAGTGTTCGAAAACGTACACACTATATACGTCGGACTAGGATTCGATACCATTTTGTTTTTCTTTCGGATGAATATCGCGAGAGTCGTGTGCACGTCGCTATTTTAATTTTCTCCGTTTGCCAATTTGCACTATGGAGATACACGAGCGGTGCGAATTTCCGCTGTCGTATAAATAAGTTACGAGCCAAACAAGACGAAAATTTCAAACGCGAGGATACGAAACGCGTTAATAATAAAACTATCGGTCGTGCGTTTCGTATGCTCTCGAGTTTGATTCGTCAACTGTCGATGGAACGTTCCACCTAATTGTAGAAAGTCGGCAATAATGTTTATAGGTGGTAGTTTGGTCCGTGTTGATTAACGAGTAGAGAACCGCGGCTGTTCTGTGGTCGCACACCAAACATACGATTTTTCTCACGTGGCCGATTATCAATCGACCGGTATCGATTGCTAGTTGAGCAAGTATCTAGACTGTAGCTGGTCTCGCCGTTTCCTAATTCATCCGAGTTTCGATCAAGCCGAATTTACATTTCTTCGCTTCCGATAATCACCCACAATGAAGATCCATTTGTAAATGAATTTTCGTTTGTGTTTATATCTTAAATTATAATCCCTTGGCGTACGATTTAATTACAAGCAATTTCTCAAACATATATTATTTAATTTTCTTTAAATTGTTCCCATGTATTCGTCTTTCCACATAAAAAGAGATCTTTCAATACTGCTGACATCAGGAAAAATAGCAACAGCAAAACGATGCGGCAGTATGCCTAGATTCATTCAAAGCAATGTTTATACTGTTCACTATGAATGATCATGCAAAGTAAAGAGACGTAAATTCGGTTCTATGCTCTGTTTTTTTTTTTTTAATCCGCTCATCCTTTTCCTGTAATTTTTTTTTCCTTTTTTTTTTTACATCAAGTTTACTTGTAATCATGGTCTCTGGTGATCGCAGAACTCGCAGCGACGTTGAGAGTAGGCCTAGCGTTACAATATATTAAATTTTATAAATCTAGAAACTTCTTAAAAACATAATCACGTTTTTCCATTGTTTTTCAATCAGATTGTCCACTAAAATTTTCAAATTTCCAAACATTATCGTATTCTATAATACAAATTATATTATATAATCGAACGTAGGTAGAAAAATAGCTCATGATATATACAGTCATACCCTAACTTATGTCGTTTCTAGCAGCGACAGACATTTGTTTAAATAATCAGATTCCTGTTTACGTGCTTCAATTGATATATTTTGTGATTGTAAACACAACTATACTCTAATCTTTATCTCCCCCAGTCACTTTTACTAAAGTATAGAAAAGTTGTCTCTTAATCTAATACGATTTTAACATATGCATCTGTATATACACGCGTATATTATGTATATCTTGACTTATGTCATTCTGGAACCAATTAGTATGTCAATTCGAGGTATGATTGTATTTAGAAAATTATTTTGTTTTAGATTATAGCTAGGGAAGTATAAAAGAAGATTAATTCCAAATTAGATGTTTTTGCATTTAATACAAGACTATTAGATTTACGTAAATCTTCGATCGTTGTAACTTGTGACAAAAATATGCCATAAAATGTTTTTCTATATGTTAATTTGAGATAAATGCTTGCAGATAATACACGATTCGGCAAGTGCTGCGATTATTAGAGACAAGAAGACGCATCGTTCGATTAGAAGAAAATCGTTGAAAAATAATATCGAAACAACGAGTGCAAAATCTTGAAAACGAATCACGTGCATTGTGTTTCCGTGCCATTATGCGAATACACCTCGCCCCGACACAAGTGTACGCACGAACATAAAAGGAAACAAACGGGACGTTGATTTTTTCCAATAACGGCGATGAAACAGGCGGTAAAATTAACAGATTGAAAAATTTGCCAGAAAAAAACAGGAACTTATCAAAGCGTCATGGCGTCTGAACGGTCAGACGCTGTGAAATTAAGGCTGAGAACGCGAGAAAACTAATTATTTACGTTTCTTGTCGATCCACGAAATCGTTGCGTAGTCTATGTTAAAACATCCGTAATAGTTCGTACTCAAATACGTTGCAATTGCTATGTCTCGGATGCAGCAGAGTCGATGCTGGTTTTTCAACGCTTTGTCAACCGCATACTTTGCCCTGAACTACCATAACACGACTTAACTCGAATTTCCACAACCCCTGCAATCAGAAGGCAAATTTTCTTCACCAAGAACGAATGAGAAATTTTAGATAGACTCATGTAAGCTTCCTATGTACGTATCATTCATAAATTAGGATCCATTAATAAATTTTTTCAACCGATATTCGAATCTAACATTTTTATTCGTTGTTCGATAATAAAATTTGCTCGACTCTGATCGTAGATATGTGAAATTGTTAAGTGGGACTATTTTCTGTGCAATTTTGTCAACGTTACTGAAAATTATTCTTGAAAGCAACCCTTGTCTACTGTTAACATAAGATTCTGTAGTGTGATGCAAAGATGGAGGTCTCCACGATCGGTTGACAATGTGTTGAAGCATCTTAGTTAATAAATCGATGTTTCATAGAAACATTGCTCTCGTACTACAGTGGTGAAGCTGCTTCGTCTCAGTCATAGATGAAGAGACAATTTCGTACAGTTGGTTGAATCAATGTGTCGCTCTTGAAATTATTCTATTCGCTAATTCCGATTTTCCCTGAATCTTCAAACGCCTGTGCATTATTTTTCTATAATTTTGAACCAATCGACAATTGTTTTGGCAATGTTCACTGGAAAGGAAAGCCACGCTTACGCGAGATTGTCTCTTTATACTTGAACGGGAGCTGCAAAAATTTTTAGTGTGAATGTTTTCGTTTTTAAGTGACTATTTTTAATAATAACAATAATATTAATAATAATAATAACGAGAAGATAATTATAACGAACGAAGAGAGGAAGGTACGAAGAAAAACAAATAATTGTAACAATATAATAATTAGAGGATGGCGATTAATAAGTTGTGAATTTTTGTAGCATACATTTTTATTTCGGTCTGCTTAGGCCAGTTTGTGTGTACAACTATGGACAACGTTACAACAACAACAACAAAATAATGTTAAAGGAAAATGGAGAAAAAAAAAAAACAAACAAACAAACGTCAAATGTATTGTAACTTTTTGCATTTAGTATAATATACCTACCTTACTACCAACTCCCGTCAGTATCTTTTTATTTATCTGAACATTACCATTTCTTTGAAGCTTCGAGGAAGCTTGTTTGAATATTATGTATGTTGTACGAGTACTCGAGTAATCAAATATAGTAATAATGTCCAATAAATGTTGTCATCCACGATTTCTTTCAACGATAATTCAATTATTTCGAATTGAACAAATTTGTACACGTTTCTTTTCATCGAGAAATTCGTTCCTTTTCCAAAAGGAAACAGTCTCGAATGAAACAGCAGGATCTTAATAACTTTTTTCTGTAAAGATTAGTAAGGTGCTTGCATCGCAATTTATTATACACAATTTATTTTGTGTAAGTGCATAAATTCTTGTACATAGTTCTATCAGACGAATGTTTTACTAAGTAAGTTATATATTGTTTCAATGAAATAATTTATTCTTATTGCTGAATAAAAATGTGAGGCAATAGAGTCCACGATTGTCTGTAGTTATTATTTTTTTTTTGTCACAATTGCGACCTAGTTAATTGTTGAACAATTAGAGAATCTGTAACCGTTTATATCGTTTAAACACGCAAACGCATTGTATTTTATTTTTATAGAGCAGATATTACACGATATAGTGTCTCGTCTCGACTAAACAAGAAAGTATAGTAATATAGAATTTCGATACTTGCAGGGTAACTATTATTCCCAATATATAAATGTTTAACGCTCGTTAATAGTGTGCAATTATCGAGGTTCTACCGGTATATCCAAATATCACATTTCATGGACTTAAGATTAAAAGGTTTCTGAATCTTTTTGTGAATAAAATTAAACAGAAATCCGATTAAAATTTTTAGCTGTTTTCTAGTGGCTTATTAATTACATTGTATAATAATGGCTAATAGATTTTAAGTAGATTCGTTACACGTAATTTAATATTTCATTCGAAATCAATCGTTTAGTCGCTTATAAGAGCAAAATTAAACAATATAATAGAGAAGGAGTAATTGTATAATTCAGTAATTCTCTTAATCTGCACAATAGTTAACATTAACGAACCGGAGCCTTTATTTATTTAAATTTATACGTCACGTGGAACTTTAAGAAAAAGATATTTACTTTAAAAATTTATTTTTTACGTTTAACGTAAGAATCGATGGAAGAATTTGTATATGTATTCCAAAAGTTTAACGTAATAATCTAGACATTTGATACTTTTTTAATTTATACTAATATTACATGAATTCGACCATGTAATTATACAAACGTAGAAAATTAAGATACATAATAAAAGAAAATAAATTTCAAGATTACTCGTCTTTAAACGTTCGAATTTGTTTATCGAATTGTTCAATCAAGTTTCTACGGTTAAACGTTCTATATGTATACATACATTTATACGTAGAAAATTATGCATGATTGATTGAATTTTAATTGATAGTATTGTCGATGGATTAACGAGGTTTTACTTAATACTGCTTTATATTTTAATTTTTAGTCATACTGTAGCTATATATAACATCGTATAATTATCGAGATGGTTTTTGGAAAGTTCTGGAAAATGGCGATATACTAAGAAGTGTATATAATATATCTATTTCTTTCTATACTTCCACACCTAGCCACACGATTATGGGTTGTATAAGTCCGTTTGCGTTTCGTTGTAAGATTATTAATTACTATCAATTTTATATAGAATTTGCCTAATAAATGTGTGTCATTTTTTTCTATGACCTTCTGCCATCTTTTGACTTGCAATTAATTTCTTGTTAATTTCAGCACGCCTACGTTTTAACGTTATCAACGTTGTTTAATTGATACGGATCCAGGAAGAGCAATACCAAGGATGAAATGTTAATGTTCTGTCCGTTACGTTGAATAATAGGCAGAAGACTGGAAAATAAAATAAAATGGAGGGCACGAGGTTGCGTAATTCATCGTGGGATCTTGGGTACAAGGCGACAAAGAGGATCGAGAGAAGCAGTGCATATGGCAGAAAGATCAAACGGGGTGTTGGAGGAAAGAAAAACGATGAGATCATCGCTGGTTGGTCACTGTGAGTATGGAGACTTTACGCTGCGCTCAGTCAGTACCGGTCCAGCAACCGATTTGGAGTGTTCTTTTGACCGGTCCCGAAAACGGTCGGAGAAAGGGCCAGCAACAGTCCAGAGGATCGAAATTCAGGTAAATATGCAACTGCATCGAGGGCAGGTGTGCACATGCACTCACTATGACTCAGAGTGAAAATCTTATGGGCCTTATCTTGGCAATCGCTTCGATGCCATAACAAGATAAGAAATTGGGTCAGAGAAACATTATTTTATAATAATATTATTACAAACATGTATCATACTAATAATGTTTATATCGATGAATGTTAAAACACATTTTATTTTTGTGTTATTGCCTAATAATTATAGTATTGCCTAGTAATTCATATAATGTAAACAAATGAACTTGTGTAGTTTTGGAACTAAAAGTACGTGCATTTAGCAATTTTTTAATTTTAATAAATAACATGGTTGTTACGAGAGTCTGGACACGGAAGTTTAATTAAGGATTGTCGACTAGGAAGTTACATCGAAGCTGCAAATACGTTCCTTTAATTAACGAATTAATGCAACTTATTGGTTGTACAACGTGGATAGGAATATGCTCGATAAAAGCATCGATGGTGGGCGTCGTTGCACAATTAAACTTATCTTGTAGGAAATTCTTCTTTTTCGAACGGAAATTGAACATCCTCTTTGGGGAAGAGAATATTATTATCGGGTATACATTACTATTATTATTGAGAAACATTTATACTTTCTAACGAATATTTTTCTCGATGCTCGTAGTATTTATTTGTTAACGTAGGAATTAAATGAAAAGTATAGTGATAAATTTCGCGTGTCAGGGTAATTTAAGTCCCGCAGTATGACACGCGATATGTGGATCAATTTCACAAAGATCAACGGAAAGAATTTCCAACAAAGATGTCCGTGGACGGTAATCAAGCGTACCTTAATCGAATGGCAACGATTACGCGGAGGACAGAATACATTTCGTTCGACATTTGAAACGTAAAACATGCTCGAGCTCTTAGGTCAACGCGATTTCGTGGAAAAACGAATGGATATACTTCGAGGAACGAATGTCTCTCGTTGCTACACCTCGTTCATGAGAACAAAGAAACTATTTACATTCGATAGCTATTAGAATACTGTAGCCTTGTTTTATTTATTATTATTTATTCAATAACAATCCATGTAAACACGGTTCATTTTTGGTAAAATAGTAAAGGATTATGAAATAACGATAAGATCGACAAAATCTCGTAGAAAAATCTCCCGAAACGTTTAGAATCGTGGAGGCTTTTCGTGGAGTTTAAAAAAGTAAAATGGAGGCTAACGCGTGTATTGATAGACCGGCTGAGGGCTTCTGTTTATTGTTTCGCGGCAATTTCACGCGTCAAATGTAATACAGCTCGTTGGAAGCTTACGCACAAACCAAACAAGATATATTTAGCTTTGGTCCAGTAAAGCTAAGAACTCGTATTCCAGTTTTCTAAGAAAAAAAGATCTACAATAATTGTTCTTAAATAATTCTCAACGAATTCCATAACATCGTGTAATATACAGGGTGTCTCACCCGATTTTGACATTTTGATTTTCTCGCTATTGTTACTCGTAACAAAAAATGTTTCAGCGGAGGCTTGAATGGTATCGAGTGGAGCATATTCTGATGTTATTAGTTTTTTCGTGAGTGGACGCGTAAAGGTCATATAAAGGTCAACTTTGTTTTTTTAAATGGAATGAGGTATTTTTTAATTCATCAATCGATTCAGCTGGATAATCGTTATAAAAAAGTATAAACTATGTAACGTCGAAAAATTAGTAGTTCAGGAGATATTTCAATTTAAATAATTCTAAAACACCATTACTGTTGTACTAAGACGTTAGCGTTTATTTACAGGAATGGTTCAACGGTAGGTGCGGTAGTAATGATGCCTTAAGAATTTAAATAATTTAAATTCAAGATGTCAAAGTCGGGTGAGACACCCTGTATAAATAATAATAAATCCGAGATACGTTAATGAACGAGCCGTTGGCCTAAAAAGTCAGTTGGGATTCGCGGAATTCCATCCTTCGGATCGTGCGTGGGTGTTTATGCTCAGTTGAACGTAGCCTTCGTTGCGTGCTGTCAATTGCAAGCAGTAACGTTACCATATAAATAGATTTTATCATCCGCAATTGTCGCAAGAAGCACTGTTTCGCTTATGCGAGGAATCGGTGAAGCGGATTGCGTGATCGCAATAAGTGTTCGTAAAGAATCGTGATTTCCGAGTATCTGGGTTATCGCTTCGTTGCTCCTATTAAGGCCTCCCGAGATTTATCGCTAGCCACGTTGACCTAAACCGTATCGTATAAATTTTTCAAATTTAACTATGACGAAATATCACGGACAGATCGTTCGATTCGAGCTTGTTAACCCAGACCTACGATATAACGATTATAGATCCTATACGAGAGACGATGCAAGAACATTAACTTGACCCGATACATTAATTTGAGGTTTAGGTTCTTTGTAACGTCTATAACGGTCGAACGGGGTCGAAATAACGGACACTCGACGCGAAGGAAGTTTATCTTGGCGTTATCTGTCAAGATAAGGCTCTATCCTTCCGTCCAGCATCGAAAACAAAAATAAACGCATACTTCCTACGGTTGTGCGCCAAACTTACATACTAATTGGTCCCAGAACAGCTGATACAAGTCAAAACAAGTATGTAAGTCGAGGTATATGTATATACATTGAATGTTCATCTTAATGCAAGAATAAAAATATCGAAAAATAGTTATATCCTTTAAAAAGTTCAGATTGCCTTGACTTTTGTTTACATACCGGTCTATTTTATGCACACGAAAGGTACAAGAATTTTAAACGTAATTATCTCGAGAAATATTGAATAATTAGTTTATTAATTAATTAATTGCAAAGTGAAGCTAATCGATCTTGTTTGTTGCAGGGATCGCGATGGGGGTGAAACTGCGATTTCTTCTGTTTACATTCTTGTTGGTGGCCATCTTGGTGGACACCTCTTCGGCGCAACAGGTACCCTGCGACACCAATAAATAAATATATCGTAAACGTCGTGTAAAACGAGTCGATTTTCAGCGTCGAAGGAAGTATCGTCGTCGTACGACCACGACGACAGAAGCTTCCGTTCAGGATGAGGTCATGAACATGCTGGAGGCTGACGAAATTGCAGAGGACGCGCAGAAAGCTGAGATCACCAACGAAGATGGCACCAATGAGGACAATTCGAGGCGTCAGAGCTTGCTTCGTGTGGATCCGTGTATAGGGAAACACTGTGGTGCCGGACGAGTTTGCAAGGTTCATTAGAAACGAACAAAATGATTGGTTACTGCCCTCATCCTTGTTCATTGGTTGTAAACGTTGTTATAATTCCAGACCATCGACGACGATACCGCAGAATGCGTTTGCGTGGACGCATGTGGCGAGGAGGTCGACCCCAGGCGAAAAGTTTGCACCAATTACAACGAAACGTTTGACAGCGACTGTCAGGTTTACCAAGCCCGTTGTTTCTGCGACACGGGTGATGCCAGGTGCAGGGGACCTGACTATCAACACATCCATATCGAGTACTACGGCGAATGTAGACAGATGCCTGTAACTACAAACAGAATATTTAAACGATCAATTCACAGAGCTTAAAAGCTTCTAAAGTCTTAATTTTGCAGTACTAAATTTTAGTAATCAAAGAGTCGAGTGTCACAGTTGACGGTTCATGATTTCTGATACAATTAGAATCTTCAGAACTTGATTATAAGTATCCATCTTCCTTGTAGATGTGTAGAGAGGAAGAAATGGCCTACTTCCCATGGCGTATGAGAGATTGGCTGTTCAACATCATGAGGGATTTGGCAGATCGCGAAGAATTACCATCTCATTACTTGAAAATGCAAAGGGAAGCAGAAACGAATCACACGTTACGTTGGACTAACGCCGCCATTTGGAAATGGTGCGATTTGGATGGCCACCCACACGACAGGGCTGTCTCCAGGCACGAACTTTTCCCCATTAAAGCACCATTGATGGCTCTCGAGCATTGCATCGCGCCATTCCTCGATTCTTGCGACGTTAACAACGATCACAAAATCACCCTCGCTGAATGGGGTAAATGCTTGGAACTGGAGGAGGTAAAGTTTCTCAATGCTCTTGAGAATTATTAATATTTTTCATCGTTACAGCAGAGACCTTGTATGCAGCTTGTATCAGAGTATTTATTCAATGTAAAATTAAAGCACAAATCGATTAATATTGATTTAAACGATTGTAGGACGTTTTGGACGACAAGTGCGACGAGTTGGCTGAAGCTACAAACTTTGACCAATAACTAATTACCACAAATTCTAAGGATATGGTGTTCGCAGTTGGATAAAGGAATGGAAGAAAGAAAAGGCCAGAAAGTAAATCAGGAGTTGAATGAAACAGTAAAGTTTCATTAATAAAAGTTCAATATTAACGTTGGAGATTATACTCCATAATTCCATAATAGTTTTCTAACTAGCTGGAAACCTTTTAATCTATAGTGATTCGAAAAGAAACACGACGTCCCTAGTTTTCTCTCCATATACTATACATTAGATACTATTTTGCTAGCAACAACGTACGCATACATCTTTTGTATAAACGTATTACGTGACTGCCTTTTTATCAATTAAAATAATAAATAGTACACTTTTTTCATCTGCTGATACTGATTTCTTATGCTATGCATTATTACAACCGTAATAAAAAATTATTTTTTTATATCTTTCATCGAATAATAGAGATCCAAGAAATTTTATTATTGTTCCTCGCGTTTTACATTATTAATACAATTACTAATAATTATTAAGTATTTGTATTTAATCAAATAATTATTGTATGATTGTATGATGTATATTGTACGTGCATGCATAAAAGAAATAAGTGATTTTTAATAATAAAGAAAGAAGTGTATATAATTGGAAATGCAGTTTCCTCTGGGCATGAGTGCCAGATGATCTAACCCAGATCTACGAAATTCAATTTACAATTGATATTTGTTGTTGAAATGGATATTACTACAAAATTTACACTGCATATGTTTTAAAATAACGTTCAAACTATTACTCATCGATTTAATTTATTTATAAAACGCACTATCAAGATTTCAAGGTATGTTTCTGCAAAATAGAATTAGAAAAGTGTAACACATTCCTTATTCCCATATTTATAAACCATTAAAACCATAACACACATGATCCTTCCTTTTTATTTGCATTCTCCTCTACCTTTCCCATTAATTCCTTAATTCTTTTAATTTTAAAGTATTATGATCTCTTAAAACCATTACAAATATTATTCGTATCTAATTAAGTTCTTCTACCATTTTTCTATGCGTTATTTCATGTAATTAATTAGTTATAAACAATTATACTGGAAGCGATTCATATTTTAAAATTGCGCTGAAAATTGTGCCAAAAAGTGACAAACTACGGTATCGCCATCTAATATCAGAAATTCGAACTCAAAAAATCGTCCCAGGATCACAGAATGTTGGAGGAGGTATCGCACTTTGGATGCCATCTAGTGGTGAAAATAGTGTACCATTGCTCGACAAGTTTCAATGTTCCGCAACTAGATAGCGCCACAATAGAGACCCCCCACCACTACAATAAATCGCAGCTGTCAATGAACTATGACTCGATAATTTACTAATTACGCTTTTCCTGGGATTCATTCATTAACTTTTAGGGTTTAATAATATAGCTGCGACCCTTGGCAACATTCGAGGATACTTTTTATAGCCATGGCATGCGTCATTAAATAGTTATTAATCAATACCGGGAAGTCGACACAGGTTTTCGAACTTTGTAACGTGACACTTGAGGGATCTATCGCTAATAACTAATTAATTAAAGCGTGGAGAGAGGTAAAATTGGTCCTAAAATGTAGCCAGGGATGTCTACTAAGTTCTCTAATAGCCAAAATATGTGTGGCGTTGTTGAAAAGTTGATAATTCATCGATTAAAGCAGACGGTGATACAGCCACCAATGTTCCGACTTCCTATATTTGTTAATAACTATTTAATAACGCATGTCATGGGTATGAAAAGTATCCTTGAAGGTTGCCAAGGGTCTATACTATATTCTACAATTCTAAAAGTTCATATTTCATTCCCAGAAAAGGAGTTATTAATGAATAATCAAGGCTATGTATATAAGGAGTAGGAGTTTGAGTTCGAAACCCTGATGTTAGATGGCGCCACTATATTTCAGCAGAAAAAGTGACAAACGACAGTATCGCCATCTAATATCAGTGTTTCGAAGTCAAAAAATCGTCCCAGGATTACAGAATGATAGTGGAGGTATCCGGAGTACAGCTACCCCCACCCCTCCACCACCTTATATACATAGCCTTGATTATTCATTAATAACTCTCTTTCCAGCAATAAACTATGAACTATTAGAACTGAAGAATGTAGTATAGACCCTTGGCAACATTCAAGGATACTTTTTATAGCCCTGCCATGCGTTATTAAATAGTTATTAACAAATATCGGAAGTCGGAACATTGGTGGCTGTATCACCGTCTCCTTTAATCGATGAATTATCAATTTTTCAACAATGACACGCATATTTTGGCTATTAGGGAACCTAGAGGACATCCCTGGCAACATTCAAGGACCGATTTTACCCCGCTCCATGCTCTAATTAATTAGTTATTAGCGATAGATCCCTTAGAAGTCGCGTTAAATAGTTCGAAAAGGTGTGCCGACTTCCCGGTATTGATTAATAACTATTTAATAACGCATGCCACGGCTATAAAAAGTATCCTTGAATGTTGCCAAGGGTCTCAGCTATATTATTAAACCCTAAAAGTTAATGAATGAATCCCAGGAAAAGAGTAATTAGCAAATTATCGAGTCGTAGTTCATTGCAGGCGTGATTTATTGCAGTGGTGGGGGGTCTCTATTGTGGCGCCATCTAGTTGCGGAACATTGAAACTTGTCGAGCAATGGTACACTATTTTCGCCACTAGATGGCATCCAAAGTGCGATACCTCCACCAACATTCTGTGATCCTGGCACGATTTTTTGAGTTCGAATTTCTGATATTAGATGGCGATACCGTAGTTTGTCACTTTTTTGCGCAATGTTAGAACGACAAACTGAAATGTTCTACGCTAGATGGCGCCACAATAAACACCCTCCGCCATTGTAATAAATCACGGCTTTTAATGAACTAGTACTCGATAATTTACTAATTACTCTTTTCCTGGGATTCATATATGAACTTTTAGGGTTTAATAACATAGCTGAGAGTCTTGACAACATTCAAGGATACTTTTTATAGCCATGGCATGCGTTATTAAATAGTTATTAATAAATACCGGGAAGTGGGCACGGGTTTTTGAACTTTTTAACGCGACACTTTAGGGATCTTTTGCTAATAACTAATTAATTAGAGCAAGGAGAGTAGTAAAACTGGTCCTTGAATATTACTAGAGATGTCTACTAGGTTCCCCAATAGCCAAAATATGCGTGTTATTGTTGTAAAGTTGATAATTCATCGATTAAAGCAGGCAGTGATACAGCCATCAATGTTTCGACTTCCGATATTTGTTAATAACTATTTAATAACGCATGGCATGGTTCTAAAAACTATCCTTGAATCTAGCCAAGGGTCTATACTACATTCTTCAATCCTAAAAGTTCATATTTCATTCCCAGAAAAGGAGTTATTAATGAATAATCAAGGCTATGTATATCAGGAGGAGGAGGAATGGGGGTAATTGTACTCTAAATACCTCTTATAACATTCTGTGATTCTGGCGAAATTTTTTAGCGCAATATTAGAACAAGTATAGCTTCTAGTAATCATTTATAACTAATTAATTACATGAAATAATGTATAGAAAAATTGTAGAAGAACTTAATTAAATACGAATAATATTTGGAATGGTTTTAAGAGATTATAATGCTTTAGAATTTAATAAATTAAGGAATTAATGGGAAAGGTAGAGGAGAATGCAAGTAAAAAGGCTGGAGAATGTGCACTATGATTTTAATGCTTTATTAATATAAACATAAGAAATGTTTTACGCTTACCAAATTCTATTATAGAGAAACACATGTCTTGAGATCTTGAAAATACGTTTTATAAATAAATTAAGTTGCTAAGTAACGTACTTTCAACAATTCTATCTTCTACTCTTAAAATTCTGTGTAGAAACTTGTTCGTTTGGGAAAAACTACAACTTAAATGCGGCGGTATATTATTGAGATTTTCTATGTTAGCTCGCATATCTAATTCCCATTGAGAACATGTTATTTCACTTCCATCATCTGACCTCTTTCTCATGCGTTCGTTATCTTCTTCCAATTCGCAAGCATTCTGCAACACCATAAATAATTAACAGTAGATATGAATTCATCAAAATGTAGATATTTCATTGTCCATTTGAATAATTTTAATATTAAAACAGTAGTTTACTAACATTACACTCTTGGATTCTATCGTGTTCATTAAGCTGAGCGGTTGTAATGTCTATTATCTTATAGCTATTTGACTGATTAAATTCTGTGCGATGATTTAAGGTTTTCTGTGGACTAACTAGTTCTGCGCCAACGCCTGGCTCTCGAGGCCCATTATGTAGTTATAAAATCTAAAAGCAAAGAAGTACAATTTATGATAATAAAAATTGCATCCTCTCTTGCAAGATGCCGCATTATTACAAGCTTTGCATGCACGTGTGGATTCAGCGAACGATACCATAGATCACATTCTGTAGGACAACACACCTTACGAATTAACAGTGGAATAAGATGACGCGAGATCTCGAAATTAAACACATGTCAAACCTCCACACTGTATTAAAACATTCTTAGAATATTACAGCGTTTCTGAGGATTTTTTACTACATCAGAAACTTCCCATTTAAACATACACATCAAGACTGATTTAGTAAAATAGTATAAGATTTAAGTGCAATTAAAAATATAAATTTTATATAGTAATCAAACAGAGGCTTAGCTGTCGTTAATAAATAAATAAATAAAAACAAAAAGATATTTTTCGATCTATTATATTTGTGGCGCCACTTAGCGTTGGCGGGAAGGAACTATTTCTCGACAAACTTGGACGTTTCGCCGTAGAGGGAGCCACAAGATATATATAATTAATTATTATTTTTAATGAACCACTGCTCGATAATTAACTAATTACTCTTTTCCTGGGATTAATTAATGAACTTTTAGAGTTTAATTCTCTAGTGAACAGTAATTACCTCCACATACCTTAAAATATCAAAAAATATCCACATGTTTTCGATAAATAGATAATAAAAACAATGTATTTATTAATCACTGCACTCCACATACTATATAATACAAATGAACCACACAAATGTGGTCGCTGATACCCCAAAAGGGGGTACGCGACTTGTAACAAATAAATGGACTAATTAATTAATTAATTTTAAACAATTATCAGTTCGTATGACAGTACAGTAGACATTCACTCGTTCGGTCTCTATCAAACTCTCAGGTCTGATAAATGAATGGTTAGTTAATCCAAAGCATATACCAACATATTATCATTAATCAGTTGTTAATGAACAAAACAAGTATGCGTATGTATGGTTGATATAATACACCGGCTGTATACTTATTGGTGGTTCTACAAACTAGATAAAATTAACGAGAGAAAGATTAAAGCGAACGACCACGGAATCTGTCAATATTTTTCTGTTGTTTAATTGTTTCCATCTAAACGAAAATGTAACCGATTAAAAGAGAACCGAATAAGAGATAGTCTACTGTAATTGGTTACTTTGCTCAGTTACTTTGTGCAATATAGAACGTTATCTAAAGTAGGGATAATGTTACGCGATGCAATGTTCAAGCGATACGAGATGAAGACGTTATTGCATATACGTTTTAACCGAAATTGTAATAACGATTCGTTTCCACTAGGTGGCGAGGGGTTATTTCGTCGAGCGTCCGTGATTGGCGGATGTTGGTCACATGGGACGACCGCGGGACACGCCGACAGCGCCAAGCGTATTTGGCGGGACCGTGCTTAGACGGCGTCGTCTGTGCTCCTCGTAAGTCTGTCGTGTAGTGAACCACAAAGGCTCTCGTCGCATAATGGTAAGTATCCGCGAGTTTTCGGCGGATCCTTTAGCCATCCGTACCTCGTAACCGCATCACCATCTTCTACGATGTTTGTACTGTTTACTGGTGAAGTTTCATGGCTGTATCTTGTAAATTAACCGTGATTTTTGTTCGTTAACAGGCTGGCGGAAAGGCGGGCAAGGACTCTGGCAAAGCGAAGGCGAAAGCGGTCTCTCGTTCGGCGAGGGCCGGCTTGCAGGCGAGTTTATCAATGCTTAATTAATTCAAACGCGTAGATTACAGTCGTATAATTATTGTCTGTCGATAATGTACGCGATCGCCGTTATTTTTCCTAAATTTTTAAAGGTGAACAGGTGAAATCGTCGCGATTGGCGCGTAAAACCGAAGTGTTTTTAAGTAACTAATCGACGATTCGTTTGTATGCAGGTTTAACGACTATTAGGCAAATAAACGACGTGAATTAGGTTCATTTGACTTTAGTCTACGCATACCGCGACGGTAAATTGGGGAAAATCGTAGGGAAATATATTATTTTTCGAATTAAAATTACGGTGGTTTCATTTAACTTCGGAAGTTTTCAAATGAGACGGTTGTCTGTTGTACGCCCCCTTCTCAATTCTTTCGATTCAATTATTTTACTTACATTGAAATGCATTGTTTGATAATCGGCGTAAAGACATTTCGCGAAAATTGTTTACATTTTTATTTGTTTGTGTCGATCACGCTGGAATAATTTTAAATGACAGAATATAAAATTTTGCTGTTGCTTTTGTTTACCTGTCACTGAAACTCGACTGAGAACGTTACGTGCACTGTTTATCGACGTAAATAGCAGTGTTTTAATATTTAGTCGACAAATTAATCGGTGGCTACGATTTGTCAAATATTTTATCAATTTCGAGTGTTTATTTAAACGCAAATGTAGTATTGTAGTGTTTCTAGTAGTGAATCTTCCTCGTGCGATCCTCGTGCTCTCAGAATTTGTAACGATAGAAAAGAGTTTACGATTGTTTTAATCGGAAACGAGTAAAATATAGGGCGTGCACTATCGAATGATGAAACTACAGACTAAAGCTGAAAAGCTCGAGAAAGTTGAATCATCGTGTACCGCTCGATATCCGTGGCGTTAAAAAAGAGGACCGTGATGTGTTGTTCCCATGTGCGAACGAGGTTTGTTTTTATGCCCCCGGGGACAAATGGATAAAACATAATCGTGGAAAACGCCTAAGTCGTGAAACGCTGTAAATATAGAGTGTTGCGAAAAGTCGTGTCATTGCTCCTCGTTCGATATTTCTTGCATGAAAAGCTGCTGACGCGCGTGACCTTATGTTATTCGAACAGACATTACGTACAGATGCGTTCTAACCTGTAAATATTTACCTTAGCCACGGAACTGATATTTCGATACAATCGAGCTTTCGTGCGTGTGTTCATACGTATCACGTTTGTTTTCCTTTCGTTTTTTTCCAGTTCCCTGTTGGCAGAATTCATAGGCATTTGAAAAACAGAACCACAAGTCATGGTCGAGTCGGTGCTACGGCGGCGGTGTACAGTGCAGCTATCTTGGAGTACCTAACTGCCGAGGTAAGAATGTGTTTGTGTTCTATGGAAGAAATATATGATGAAATAGAGAGAGGGGCAATGGCGGAACGGGGACAAATACGCACAATAGGAAGATCTGAAACCAGAACTATATACACGGATAGCGTTACTAGCGACTAATGGCGGAGTTACCAACTCCAACCATCATGGCCGCTGTTTCCCGCCTTTTCGACGATCGTACGCCAAAACATGAATATTCTATTTTTACTTTTACAACCAATTCTCGAACTTTTTTACCACACGGGGTAGAGATTCGAATTTCTATGTATTTAAGCCAATTCTTTATCGAAAATACCAGTCAATACTCCTGGTCTTTATTTAAGACTCCGATCGGATCGATCATTGACGACATTTCTTCAAAATTTCATATCCTCGACAACGTCGAAAACTCTGACTCGATCCATTATTATAATAGATACATAGAGTTGGACTAAATTTACCATGAAATGAACCTTGTTTCAGGTACTTGAATTGGCAGGGAACGCATCAAAAGATTTGAAGGTGAAACGTATTACACCAAGGCATCTTCAGCTTGCTATTCGCGGTGACGAAGAATTAGATAGTCTTATTAAAGCAACTATTGCGGGAGGAGGTATGTTCCAAGACAATCTTTCTTCACTTTTGCAAATTGAATACAACGCTTCAAATTACAAGAACATTATAGAGCTTGGAATCATCGTATCGCTAGTTGCAAGCGCCGAATTGCACAGGTTCGTAACCGTTAAGAAAAAAATATTTTATTTTCTTTGCAGGTGTTATTCCACATATCCACAAATCGTTGATCGGAAAGAAGGGTTCGCAAAAGCCAGCATAATTAGTGAATCATTGAAGAACATTTCAAGCTATGTAGGAAAAGCAGATGCAGAAGCAAGCAGAGTGATTGTTGACAAAGTGTACCTATGTTACTAAATTGATGGCGAGACTGGCGTGATATATTTATATATATATACACACATATATATATAGATATATAGATATATATATATATATATATATATAAATAAAACAAATATTGATATAATTTAATATAGGTAATGAGAATTAAAGAAAGGACAAATTTTTACCACGCAATTGGCATTCAGAAAGGGAAAAAAAGTAATGTTAGGTTCGAAATAGAGAAAAATTTTAGTGTACACTACTACGTCTGCAACTATTTGACGAGCGATGCGTTGTAGCATCGCTTGTTCAAGACTGCAGAAATCCTCGATACGTTACATGAATACTGAACATTTTGAAAGTTGGAGTATTTAAGGACTTGGATGTGTCGAATTGTTTATAGTTTGTTCGGAGTTTATCTTTCGTTCCGTTACTAAGTCGATGGATGTTCCAAATTTGTCTCCTTTATTTTTTAAATTGCTGCGTGGTATTAACGCCGTTTTTCTTAAAATTTGCTATTCAGCGATAGCAGAAGCTGTTATTCCGAAATAATATTGTATACATACAAGTATTACGTAGTTTTTATTTCAAAAAAAGTTTCTTGTACTTTTCAATATTTAACGTTTCCAATTTTTACTCGCATCTAGATGTCTAATACTCTACGAATGAGGATACAAGTGAAAATAAATACGTAATCATTCTTGTTATTAAATACTCTTGACTGTCTTACAGCGATAAATAACATGTATAAATATGTTTAGAGTAAATTTTTAATTTTTGATAATTTCTGTTCGAAAAGTTCGTTTTGCCAAATACCTTCGATTAAATTTTTCAAGTTTTCAGTCCTCACAATATTAATGTAAGTATACAGGGTGGAGTGCTGAAAAATATATATCCTATAGTATGAATTGGGGGATATATTAAACACGAAAATTGCATGACCAGAAATATCATTTTTCTTAGCAGAGTCGGTCTTCGTATCCAAGTTTTTAATAAATACTTTAACAGAAGAAGAGCTAAAGACAAATACAGCGCTATATATTTATGTGCTGTTTATTTATGAACGCGTTAGTTAATATTTAATGCGAGATATTTGTTTATATTCGTATTATTGTTTTATTTGGCTATGTGCGAACTATTGAACCTTTGTTATCAGTTGAAATTCAAGTTTGTTTGCGCCAAATATTTAAATTCACGAGAAAGCTGTGGCGGGGTTGATTTTTCTTCAAGTATTAAAAACGCAAATTTTATTTAAAAGAGAGCTCCCTGATCTTAAGAACTGGGAAACGATCGAGGAAGAATGATTTTTCTTTCATCATATGTTCCTCTATTCAAACTGAGTAATATGTGTTACTAATATTCCGTAGATACTTTTTTTTTAGATTCTCCACTCTGTGTAAGAACATTTTAGGAACTATAGTTTTTTCAAACATTGTTTCTCCTAACGTCGTGAAAATTGATGTCACTTACGAACTATAATTAGCGAATTCTGAACGATTCAGCTGACCCGAACTTATAATTAACCGTTTCGGTACGGGATCATCGATTGATCATGCGTTCGTTATGGCCTCTGGCATCGATCGGTCGCTACGAATAATTTATTAACGTTCTAATAGATCGGACACTCGTACCGAAAGACGATTTATACCTATAGTGGGCTAAAACTTACGAGACTGGAACCTTTGAAACGTGATAAGCTTTTACTCTCGTGAAAAATATTTCGGCATTAGAAAATTTATAACGCGAAACATCATAATCTCTGTTCTAGTAGTGTTCTATTAATGTAAAAACCATAGTAGAAAAGTTTAACCAGTCTGAAACGTGCAAGCGGTATATATGTTTTTAAGAAAAGTAAATTTACTTTCTCTTTGATTTTGTTCGCACGATTTTTCATTTTATTCTTCATGAAAACTGTTAATCGTGTCATTTAGTGTAATTTTCACTGTATCTACGGGTATTGTACCGTATATTAAATACCAGCTATGTGTAAAACGTTCATTTTCATAATAAAGAAAAGTTTTACTATTGAGTATCGTCCAATCACTGATAAAATGAATATCGAGACTCGAGGGAAAATTGTATACTAATTTGTATTTCGTGCCTTCTTTGAAAATCGTTAAGTTAACTTTAAAGGTAATATATTATTGAAAGGCTGTTACACAACGAATGATTTTTGTAAATGCATCATTGTACATTAACTACGTAATGTCATTTCGTATTGCATGTAAAACATTCGATCTAGAAATATACTTTCTCTGATAGACCATAGCTGTGTAATTAAAAGATAAATGCTACCTGAGGATTCTTTGAAAATAGTCTTGTATTCACAGATCGACAAATATTCAGCTCTTTTTCTTTATTTAAAAAGGAATAATTGTTTCTTTTCCTCGACTATTTTTTTAAAAAGAAGACTCGTATCATTTACAACCGAAGCTCGCATTGGGGGTTGGTTTTGTAACCGGTGATAATTGATAATACGTAGGAGTTTGTCGTGATTCGTACATTATTTAAAAAAACGGTTTAAATACTTACAATTATCTTTGATTTTTTTCATTGCTTCTCTCTCCGGTGATAGCTGAATCTCTGATAGCGAGCTTCCCCAGACGGATAATAAATAAAAATGGAGACTTGTTACCAATTTTCCCGCCTGTAGATTTGTTATCAACGACGTGAATCGACTACTGTGTTGGAATCATTTTCTTTAACTTACAGGATAACGGAGAATGCGTTACCGAATGCCGTTAAGGCAGCACCAAGAAACTGGCTACAGAAATGGTTTCAGAAACATCCATCCTTAGTAACGCCATCGAATTTAAGACTTTATTTGCGGATTAAGCACCGGAGCATTTATTATCGAAGCAGTTCTCCGATGGAGGATATTTTCGTGGTCTCAGTTAAGTTTAGATCAATAGCATTAATTCAGCCAACCAAAATTTTCATTTTCGATATCTGTGTATCAAGATAAATAGTGAAAAATTGATCGCAAGTTTTCAAGACACTAAAACGTAGTTTAACTCTTATAAGTAAAAATTTTGCACATAATAATTGAACTTCTCTGTGTGCCGGTAGGTGCTGCCACCACGGTGGGAGCGGCTCCTACCATCTAGTTTCCCCCACCAGCAGCCAATCGTACGGCTGGTCGAGGCTGCTCGCAATGTAATACGGTGTGGCTTCTTGCGTACTTGTAGAAGAGAGATAGAAGCAAGGAAGAGCTCCCCACTAAGCCGGTCAGAAGCTCAGTCGCCTTTCACGAGCATGGTCGGCTGGGCTACTCGTACCGTGTCTAGAATTCTAAACGCCGAGCATCGTTCGCTCGAAACGTAAATTCCATTCGTCGGGGGACGAGAGTGTCCGTTTTATCGACTTTGTCGCGGGGGACAGGATCTCTCGACGGATCGTCCTCGGGTTCGTCGTGAGAGGGCCGGGTGTTTGTGCACACTGGGTGACAGAACGCGTGGCTGCTGTCCAATAGTGTCCTTTCTACGATCAACGTCTCGTATGCTTTGCAACAGCTTCGTGTCTCGATTTTCGGAAGATCGGTGCGAGAGGAACCGTTTTCGTTTCGCTCGCGCCGCGCTATTTCCGGTGTTTATGCCTTTCGGCGAAATTTTTGCGCGCGCGAAGGCCCAAGGGTGGGGAAACCGTCGGTCTCAAAAAGCAGTGATTCCCCGTTAGAAAATGTATCGTTCGGTCGCGAAGTGATCGGGCTTGAGTTTCGCGAAGAGTGGACGTTGTGACTTTCTTCTCGGCGTAACTTCCCACACAGTTCACCTGGCCGTAGATTCCACGGAGATGACGACCAGACACGCGGAACGGGCTGCTGTTCGTGGCCGGTGAGTCGTTTCTTAAGAATTCTTTGCGTGACAATGCTTTTACTCGATCAAAGCTGTGTGTTAGCCAACTTATTACATTGGCGTGTTACGGTGAAAGGAAGATCTTCGTGTTACACGGTTTCATTTCCAATTTACCAGCGTCACGTTCTTTAGAAACGTCTAAGCTTCGGGCTCGGTGCAATGAAAATACTTGCGCTTTTCAGACGATTTCACTGACTCTGTATTTGGAACAATTGGTATTTATTTTCGAAATTCAATCGTATGCATGCACGGCGGACCAGATTTCAAAATTAGCGAGTCAAATAAATTCTTAAATAATGTTTATTTACGAGCTTGCCAACCGTAGTTTAATACTTGAGAATCTAATTCGATAGGTTGTGAATATTACTTTTTCATTGTTTTGGGGCATTGGTATTGCAAAAATAATGATATATATTTCGGAATTAATACACTAGTTCTTGAAACTTGATGATATATGAAATACTTCTTATACGTGTCGAAGTAAATGATCAAAGGCGCCAAATTTGAAACGTAGCAGTTAAAATAAACCGTGTAGTATCGCGATTATTTCAAACGAATATTTGTTGTTTTATTTCAAATAAAATTGATCCATGTTTTGTTTTTAATAGCGATAGAATGAACGTAAGCAAATCATACAATACGCGGAAGCTTTCGATTATGTATTTACCGATTTGGTAAATGTTTACATGATCGCATTTTCGAAGGATATTGGAGATCATGGGAGCGGAAACCAAGCTTCACGGCATATTGCAATAGTGTATACATAATATTTCTGACTGTTCGCACAAGGTTTGTTTGTTTTTTATATAAATCTCTACGTTGTTCAATATCGAAGTCTCTATAATTTTGATATTTATCTTGTATTTTAGCTTACTTTGTTGCGTGGATATTCCGTGGATAGTTGTTACGAAAAGTCTGCTGTGTTTGGGAACTTGAGTTTTGTTTTACTTGTATCCTGAGTAGAAATGTTGTCTGTAATCTAAATACAGGTATGTACTTGGAACGCAAGGTCGGTTGATCGACAACGTCATCAAGGCGGTGGTGAAAGTTTATCCCGCGTGGAAAGAACACAAACTCGTACTTATTTGTTAAAGTAAAGTATCCAGACATTTTGTGATCAGGATGTTAGTTATTTGTCTCAGAAAACGTCCCGGATTTGAGTTATTTGGTCCTCATTGAAATGGACATTGACAAATTGGTAATTGAAGTTGATTAAGTTTGTAAAATGATACTGAATTAGTTTGGAAAATTATAAAATCGAAATCTACGTTTTCGTTAATCCTAACGATTTTAACTTTTAAAAAAGTTGGGTGTAATGTAATGTCCAACTTCGCGAATTTTGCTGCAGATCGTTATCGCGTTTAAGTACAGCATGCAAAAGCATTTTATAATTAAGGGTCTTTTAATTCGGAATAGTAAAAAAACTTTTTCGCCCATTAAGAGAAAAAGTAGTTCAGTATTTTTTGTTTTTTTTAGAGGTCGAAAGTTCCTAGACCACGTTGGCGATAAAGAAAAAATTGTTTGAATGTTCGTGACTTTATTAATGGAAAAAAGCAAGCTCAAAAATAAATTCTCCGGTTAAAATTGTTTGTTAATAAAGTGCCAGGGCCATTCGACTAATTTTACGATTGTTTTTCGCGATAAGGAAGTTAACCAGAGTTGGATAAAATATTATTTTAATTAGTAAAAATAGTAAATGAATATTTCCAATTATTTTATAAATCATTTTATTTATTTTTGAATGTAAAAACATGAGAACTCACTAAAGAACGCGCTAAATAGGTTATTATAGGACTGATTTACAATTTGATTTTAGGAAATATTCGTGACAAAATGTAATCGTGATATCGTTAATTTAAAATTGTTTGCGCTTGACCCTACGATTGTACGAGTTTTGTTAGCTGTCCATCAATTTGATGCATTTGTTGCTCTAATCAAACAAAGTGTCGCCCCGATTGTGTAACTGAAATAGGTACTTGATTGTTGCAATTACGAAGGAATTGCGAGTGAAAGAATATGATCACGTCGTCTGCACGATTACATTAGAAGCCAAGTCGATTTAGTTGCCTTAAATTGAAATCGAATCTGCTGTTCAGATTTAAAAATTTCTTCTCGTTACTGGGGCCAATCACAATCATTTTTTATGATTAGACATACCACCGAATTCCTGCGCGTTTTCGAGAAAAAAATTCGATTCGGTGAAATTTTTTGGCGAAATTCGAAGGTTTCAAATCATTTTGGAAAAATTATTTTTGGTTGCGGGGATCAATTGCAATCATTTTTGGTGGTGAGACATATTCCCGAATTCCTACGCGTTTTCGAGAAAAAAATTCAATTATGTGGAATTTTTTGGCAAAATTGGAAAGTTTCAAATCATTTTGGAAAAATTATTTTTAGTTGCGGGGGTCAATTGTAATCATTTTTGGTGGTTAGACATACCCTCGAAATCCTACGCGTTTTCGAGAAAAAAATTCGATTATGTGAAATTTTTTGGCAAAATTGAAAACTTACAAATCATTTCGGAAAAATTGTTTTTGGGTCCGGGGATCAATAGCAATCATTTTTGGTGGTTAGACATACCCTCGAAATCCTACGCGTTTTCGAGAAAAAAATTCGAGTTTGTGGAATTTTTCGGCAAAATTAAAAAATTTTAAATCGTTCTAAAAAAATTATTTTTTCTTGCAGGGGTCACATACAATCATTTTTCTTTAATAAAAATTTTGACTAATATTTTGTAAGAGATAAAATAATTATTAGTTTAGACTGTTTTGATGAATCGTAGAGTATAGATCGTTCAGAGGTGATTTTTCGGAAAAAATTAAAGCCTCTTGGAGTGAGTGGACTTTACTCTGGACAGGTGTGCACAGTTTATCACCTTTTTCAAAGACATTTACGAGCGAGTCGCCATCGCAGGTTCTCGATTCAGCAGCATAGCACACGATCCGTTAGCGCATCCTCTGGGTCATCGACCATGTGGTCGCATGAGCGCAACTCGCACGATGAAACCCGTAGAATTTTCTAACAAACATACACGATGATCTATCGTCGTTAAATTATTTATTTAATTCATAATAGGGCCTAATTTTTCTTATAGGGTACTGACTTGATTACTCTAAGATAATTGCAAATAAAAAGATTCTTAAACTTCTTTCTAATAATCGAATTTTATATGATTAAACGTTCGAAAGTATTTCAGTGAACTTTTACAAAACATAGCCCCAAAAGTGTAATATACATGTAGCAAGAATAATGGGAATTTTCAGTTTTGTTTGTGATTGTAATTCCTGGGTATAATTCGATTGCAAATTTCCATAACTTCCAGTTGTTGATTTTTGTCGAGAACACCATGTACACACATACACACGTAAAGTTGAGAAAAATTGTACGGTCAGCGTTACGCCGTCTGACGCTGAAGTTCTTCTTTCCCGGCAAGTGATAAATCGCTTTCCGGATACTTGTACATCTGTTTCACTGGTTTCGTATCGTATCTATCATACTCTTCTCCAAAGCACCGACGTCTACGCTTCATTACAAATTCTATAACGTATCGAGCCCCGACCTCTGCAGACGCGTTGCAATTTTTCGTCGTAGCTTTCTTATTACCAACAACGAGAAATCACGACGTTGCTAGGAGGTTCCCAGTTACTTGAATTTATTTTGTAGATCAGAACCGTACTTTTTATATCAAATAATTTACGTATTTTTTAATTTGGATGAAAGTTTTGTGGAAAGCGAGGCGACTAAAACTCGGAATTCTCACGAAATGGGAGGTAATTTGAACAAAAATAACCGAAGTCAGTTTTTCCGGGTCCAGAAGCCCGTCGAACCGTGTAGCGGAGAGAAATTTAATCGATTGATGAAACCATTAACTGTAACGATGCCTTCTGCTAAACAGTTAAATTCTCTTGCACGTCCGTATTGGTTCGAAGCTATCGTATAACTGCGGGATAGCTTGTTCCCGACCCTTTTCCAATTCCACCTACGAACAATATCGCGGCTGCGATTGATAACAAAACGAAAACAACCGCCAACAGCCTCTCCGGAAATTCGCTTACACGTTCGTCACACGATAATGTAATTGGAAATTGGTTTTTAAACGTAGCTCCCGTTTAGTTTAATTTAAAAAAGAATAATCACATCGATTACAAACTCGTAATCTCTCTAACGATCGTTTATCAAACTAATTTAACTACCAAATTTAAAAGTAATATAAACATTTCATCCTTCGCGCGAAAAGAAACCGTAAAGTCCTTTACCATTTTGCAATCTGATGCTTAGTTTTCGAGATACAGGCAGTTAAAGTTCATCGACGTCCTCGGACGCCATTTTTATCCTAGTCAGCTGATTGCGTAACAGCAATGGCGTCCACACGGAAACTTTAATCGTTTATATCTCGAAAACGAAGCCTCGGATCGTGAAATGATAAAAGGCTTTTCGATTTTATTTTACCCAAGGAATTTAGATTTTTCGATTTAGATTTAATAAAGCTTGCCCAAGTATTGTAGTAATTTTTAATTATTTTTCTCCGGTGTTTCGAAGCGTTAGACAAATGAGAAACGAATGGTACAATCTTGTTCGTTAACTGAGACTCTCATTTTTAAAATGCAGCCGCGACGGAAGCATTCCGACGCGTTTCTAAACCGCGGTTGCACAACAAGATTTCGCTTCTATTCACGCTCGTGTGGGAGAGTTCAGATTCTCGAAATGCTGCGATACAATTGTGGAAACCATTCATTGTCCTGCGAAGAGCTCATTGTTCTTTCTGTCACGGCGATATCGATACAACGTTCTTTTTATTGTACGGTTTACATTCGCGATATGAAATCACTGTCGGGGAATTTTTTTTACCCGCTATTGGCGTTTGATACTCGACTAGCGGGAGATTACTATCGATAACTGCAAGTACAACGACCTACTCTACGCTTTTAATACTTTCCTGGAAATTGTTCTGCCAGGGATTGATTTTTTTACTTGTCGAT